TTTATTTTTTATTTTAAAACACTAGCTAAAATTTAAAAGTTAAAGGTTTTAAAAATATTATAAAAAGCTTAAAAAATTATATACCTAGTTAGCAGGCCCTGGCTAGCTTTAAATTATTATTAATAAATTATTTAAATTTTTATAAATTTTTATAAATTTTTATAAATTTTTATAATTAATTTAGTATACTAAAATAATACTATATTATTTAATTTAAGACTATATTATTATTTTTAAAATATTTAAAATATTTAAAATATAAAAAATATAAAAAATACAAAAAATATAAAAAATATAAAAAATATAACAAATATAAAAAATATAAAAAAATATAAAAAAATAATTAAAAAATAAGCCTAAAAATAAATAATAATAAAAATATAAAAAATTAGAAAAAATTAAAAAACAATTAAAAATTGGACCTCTTAAGTAAATTACTAAAATTTTAAGGCGGTGTGTGCATCTACCAAATATATATACTGGTTTTGGCGGTAGAATACTAGCGCATACATTGAAAGTGGAGTTTTTGCGCGATTGTCGATTTAGTCCTCCGTAGTCTCTCGTTGGCTATCAAATTAGTAATTCATCCGGGCGGGGCTGTACTGTGGTTCTTATCTTCGCCTACAAAAGCTTGACCTTTCACCTCGCCCTGAGGGCAAGGGTGTGCCATACATCTGTGATAATCAAGTCCTTCCCCAATAGTCAAACCAAAAACCAAGCAAAATGGCCACCACCGAAGCAGTCCATTTCTTCGACCTCTACTCCGACCTCCCCGTCCCCTCAAAATCATGGTCTCTCAACACCCTCAAGGTCCGCGCGGTGCTCAACCTCAAAGGCATCCCCTACACGCAAAGCTGGATGTCCTACCCAGACATCAAGCCGCTTATCACCGGCCTCGGCCTGCCGCCCAACGCACAAGGACTCCCCTATACACTCCCCGCAATCATCCACAAGGGCAGCGTGACCTCGAACCCCAGCGGCGCACTCATGGACTCCCTCCCCATCGTCCAGCACCTCGACAAGGCCTTCCCCGGCCCATCGATCTTCCCGTCCGGCGACGCGAGCTTCGCGCTTGTGCTCTCTGTGGAGAAGATCCTGGGGGGATTGTGGCCTGTGTTCAGGCACTTGATTGTCCCGCGCGTCGCGGGGCATCTGGACCCCAGGGGGCAGGAGTACTTCATCGAGACAAGGTCTAAGGCGTTTGGGAAGCCGCTGGATGAGATCCGTCCGACGGACCAGGAGAGTCTGGATGAGCTGTGGAAGATTGCTGAGACGGAGACTGCGGTGCTGATCCGGATGTTGAAGGGGCGGGAGGGGAAGAAGGGGGTGTTCTTTGAGGGGGAGGAGGCCGGGTATGCGGATTTGCTGCTTGCGAGTTATCTTGCGTTTGTGGAGCGCTTTGACCAGGAGCTCTTTGGGAAGTTTATGGGGCTTGGTGATGGGGAGTTCCGGGAGCTCTATGGGGCTTGTCTGCCGTGGTTGGAGGGGCAGGGGGTTGAGAAGGAGTGGCCGGTTTCTTCAGCTTAGGGCCAAAGATGTTAGTGGATGATGACTTGGCCGGTTCGTATGGATTGACACATGGAGATTGAAGAATTCCTACTGTCTGTTGAAATATGAGTCCCAGATTTGATAATCGGCTGTAATTTCACCGGCCACAACTTCGGATCAGAATTCCATACGTGGGTCTAGCAGTTCGAACACTCCTCTTGACAATGTAAGTAATGCTTCAGATTCTTCATGGCGGTAAAAGAGAGATCACCATGGTAGACGATGGACAGTCCCAGGTAGGGTCAACAATCATCCTACGTAGGCCTAACAACAACTGACACCATTCCAGCTGAACCCAAAAGCAGTGCGTAGGCCATACAAGCCTGCGACTATGCTGCAGACTCTAAATACCAGCGACCCTCGAGATCCTCCAGCGCTGGTTCTGGTTCCCATGCCGACCATACAAAATGACAGGGGTCCCATCAGCAGTCGCCGCAGACTGGACGTCGAGCGCCATGTTCGCCTCCTGGATGTTGCTGAATCTGTGTCAAAGTTAGCCTGGCTCCCCATAAGCACTCGGATGACATACAGATAGCCATCACCCAGATCTTCGGCCTTCCAGCGCGCGGTCGCGTCGTTCTTAGGGTCGACCACGGCCACGCGGAGCTGCTTGTTGTTGCCTGAAACACGTTAGCGACGCCCGGGCATGTTTGTCGATGGGCTGGGCGGGTTACCGTTGGTAGCCAGATAAGCGCTGGGGTTGCGCTTGTACTTGAAGGACCAGCTGCCGTCGGCCATGCGGTGGGCCGTCCACTGGCGGTTGGGGAGTTGGAGGTTCTTCCTGTGCGATGAGTTGTTGTTAGTATAGGTATGATTCTCAGATGGTCCGCTTTAGGGGAAAAGGGTAAGGGCCGTACCAGATGCCGACGTTGCCGAGTTCGCCGCCACCGTAGACCTCGAGCGCGCGATTGTCGGCGTCGGGCATGAGGGTGATGATGTAGTAGGTCACGCCGTCAACGAGACGTTCGGAAGCCATGTTGGATACTGCGAATTGAGCGACCGTCGAAGAAGTCTGATTGTGCTGTTGATGATGTGCTGGGTGTGCATGGAGAGTGGCCAGAGAACGGGGAGGAAGCGACTTTATATAGGTAGCCATGGCAGCCTTTTTCTCTCTGCTGGTATCTAAAGTCGCCTAAACTTGCCTATCATCGAGCGATCATGACAAACAGCAATATCCCGCGAGCAGATCCAGGTAGTCGAAGCGATGGCTGGCTGATCTCCCGAGCCACAAAATGGGAGATCGTAGTGTATACTGGGGCACGCTGCTGTGAATGACCATCGCCATGGACACTTGACGTTGCACAAGGCATCGCGTGAGGCCAGGGCAGTGGCCCTGAAGGGCTGAGTGGTCATCGAGCGCCCTGTGGCTAGCTGAGACTGGTGCGGAGGATCTGAGCGCTAAACAGACAACGCAGAACGTGGCGGTGCTCTAGAATCCAGGCTCAGGGATGCTGGGGCATACAATGCTGCCTAGGTGATCCTAGTAGTGCTATGGCACTGATACTCATGCGTTGAGGACTTGACTTGGTCGCTGTACTAGGAAAACACTACATAAGGTACCGTATATGGCCGAGTCTAACCGCTGGAATTCAGGGCAAAAAAAGACAAGCCACCAGTCGGCATCGGTTGCGCAGACCTATGATGGCTGACATGCAGCGCGGTCTGCAGCTCCCTCGTATACCTGGTACAGCTGAGACCCGCCACTGGTGAAGAGAGGAGCAGAAGTACCCGAGCATTCGAGTACTAAGCGCCATCCCATCTCTGGGATATCGTGCTGATATCGTTAGGTAGTTCTGCAGCTGCGGCAGGTCTTGTTCTGACAAGAAGAACGGAAGCGCACTCCTCAGCCGCCATTCCAATCAATCGACTGCTATCTCGTCATCGGTCTACCGAGAATGGTCTCCTTTCCCCAGATGATCTACTGGAACAGAGTTTTACGAATTGGCGCCGTTTGTGCAGGATGGTGGACATGCAGGTGCAGTCCCCTCGTATCACCATAGGTCGGCCTGGAGAGCTGAGACGCCGGGTTGGCAGCCGGGGCAGCTCCGCCACTGGGGAGTAAAGAGGCAGAAGTACCCGAGGATTGGAATAGATGATTAAGCTGGGATAGATGGAATGTTGTATGCGTCCTGACACCCTATCGTCTCTGTGGCTGTCAAAGGTCCTGCGGCGGTCCTATGTCTTGCAATGAAGGAGAGAGTGCGCTGTTTGCCTACCGATACATTATTTTTGATTAATATATCAGTGTCATTCTTACTACCACAACGTCTTTCCCAGATGATCTACTGCATACAATGTACACCGACAACCCCGGGTTTACGGCCAGAGCACTGCTGGGGACATCGGACTCAGACCCCAACCAGGCAACTCCGAGAACAGGCCAGGGCCGAGCCAACAAGCCTCGCTGCAGCAATCAATCTGCTGCAGAGCTAGTCTCCAACTGACGGATATGCGGCATTTGCCGGACGGGTAGGAGATTCAGGTCGGAGCTCGGAGGACTTGTTCGTCCTGGTGAGCCAGCAGACCACCGCGCTTGGTTGAGTATCCATATACGCACGGTCACGTCCATGGTGTTTTGTGCTATGATTGTCCAAATACTGCACGATGAGAGCATTCTTCCTTGAAAGCCGATCTCAACTCAAGCAGCAAAATGGAATGGATTCATCCCATCGTCTTCGGCACTCGGAACTGTGTCGGAGGTAGGACGCTGATCATGGCGGGTCTGGTGGGGTAGAACAGCGCTATAAATGAGCCATCTGGCAGGCTCTTCCCCAAAGGCTCCAAACCCATCAAAAACCAGCCCAATGCCTCTGAGGGTTCTCGTTGTCGGCGCTGGAATCGGCGGCCTTGGGGCTGCCATTGCCCTCAACCAAGCCGGGCATGACGTCTTGGTACGTGGACCATCGCACCGCACGGGTTCATCTAACGCTGGCACTGTTGCAGGTCTTCGAGCAATCGCGATTCCTGCACGAAGTCGGTGCAGCAATACACGTTGCGCCCAATGCCTCGCGAATCCTGCACTCGTGGGGGATCGACCTGGCAGCGCTGCAGGGTGTGGAATGCGAGGCGATCAAGGTGTGGGATGCGCAGGGGAACTTTGTTTCGACGGCCATGGTTTGTTCGGCCTTGCTGGGGGTGTAAACGGGTGCCTCGCTAACCAGGGGCGATCTAGGAAGCGCAGGACTATAAGAAGGCGCTGGGGATCCGGGAGCCCTGGCTGCTGAGCCACCGAGTGGACTTGCACAATGCCCTCCGTGCAGCGGCTGCGAGGGAGGTCGAGATTCGGTTGTCTTCGCGGGTTGCGTCTGTGGTTGGTCTTCCTGTATACATGGTGACCTTTGTTCGAACTGATTGCGTCCGAACAGGATGCTGAAGCCGGAGTCGTCACGCTCGAAGACGGCTCGGTCTACACGGGCGACCTGGTGATAGGGGCCGATGGGATGCACGTACGTCATCCTCCTACTACATCCCTGTTTAGATATATCTGCTCATACGCATGCAGTCGAGAACCGTCAAGGCAATCACCGGGACAGACCAGAAGAAAGAGAGCACCGGGCAGAGCACGTACCGGTGGCTTGTGCCGGTCGCCAAGCTCCGCGAGAATGCCCTGACCGCGCCGCTGCTTGACAGAATCGGCCTGAACGCAACGCACATCTTCGCCGGCGGAGACAGACGCCTGGTCATGTACCCATGCCGGAGCGGGACGCTGCTCAACGTCGCCGGGATCCATCCCTCCAGCACGATGGCGAAGACCGAGAACTCGTCGTGGCTGGACTCGGGCAACGTCGACGGCCTCCTCGACACATATAAGGAGTTCTGCCCTGCGCTGCGTGAAATCTGTCGACTAGGCGAGGACGTTCGACTTTGGAGCCTGGCGTCCCGCCAGCCGCCGCGGAGCTTTGTCAGGGGGAGATTGGCGTTGCTGGGTGATGCGGCGCATCCGACACTTCCACGTAAGCTTGAACCCGTATCTACTTGTCACCAGCTATATGGATGCTTACGGTCGCAGACCAAGGGCAAGGCGGTGCGCAGTCGATTGAGGATGGCGCTGCACTGGGGGCTCTTTTTACAGTGGGAACTACGCGGGAGGAAGTACCACAGCGCCTCGAGCTATACAACGAGACGCGGTACCGGCACGCCGTGACTGTGATGATGATGTCGCAGAAGCCCAACGAGCGACGGGCGGAGATGATCGAGGAGCTGCGGCGCTACGTTGCAGATGCTGAGGTGCCGTCGGACATGTTCAGGTTTGCCTGGGGCTCGGACCCCGTTGGGAAGGCCAGGGGGTTACTGACGGCGGGGCTACTTGAAGGGGGGAGCCGGTTGTAGATAGCCTCGAAATACATGGGGTACATAGGAATGACTTTGACAAGAAAGGAAATGCAAAGAACAAAGAGAGCAACCGGAATCCATCCAAGCTTGTCACATGCCGCCCGGTCGGACTTGAACAAAGCGAACCGGACGAGACAAAAGACAGGACAGTCACAAAAGACCCAAATAGAACTCACGCCTTGGGCTTCTTTGCACGCTTTCCTTTGCCCATTGCCCCAGCCCTGCCCGAGGGCTCCGCATCCGGACTCTCATCCTCGATGAAAGCCACGGCCTGTGCAACGGTCTCAACCTCCTCCTCCACTGTCTCGGGGTTGAAGGTTCGAAAGACGTATGGGCGAGTCAGGCCAAGCACGCGATGGCCATCCTTCGGGGTGCAAAGGTAATCAACCCGCAGAGTTTTCGAGCCGAGGAAGCTCTCCCCAATGTCTGTAAGGGTGTGAAAGTTAAGCCGCGGGATCTGTGCAATCATGTCCACGGCCGACTGGGATATTTGCTGCAGGTCCGCGGTGAGGACGCCCAGTCGTTGGGATGGATCGTCAATGGGTTTAAGAAGGCTAACAAGTGCTTCGTTGGACAGGAGGTGCGCCGCGAGGGCCTTGCATTTGGCGTCCCGGCGAGCCTTCATGGCCTTTCCCAGGGCGAAGTCGCGCGTTTGGCCGTACTCAACGCTGTTGGCGAGGCGCGTGGTGATGGACCGCCAGACCTACGTGGAGTTGTCAGTATGCGAAACACGTATGGGCTAGATCCTCGAGCGAAGTGACTACCTGGGCGTACTCCATCCCCACTGCCGACACGTCAGTCAGTAGGCAATCTGCGCAGCTCTCCATGTGACGTACCTTTCTCAAACTTCGAAAGCAATGTATCCAGTCTGGCACCCAGCGGGGAGACCCCATCCCACGCGGTGTCATCATGAGAGCCGGCGTCGTCGGCGGTCTCGTCAAGGTACCAGAACGGGTGACGGAACAGGATCTCGACGACGGCCTTGTTCAGAAGCGCCTCGAAGAGGGCCCTGCCGAACCGGTCTTGCTGAGGTGGCTGCAAACGGGCGTGGATGCTGTCCAGGTCCTCCTGCACCATCCATCCCTCCAGCGATGCGACAATCTGGTCCTTCTGCTTTTTGGACAAGCCTGTGATGTCTTCGATGGCAAAGCCGGCCGCAAAACTCCAGGTGGCATGAAAAACATCCCCAAACTCCTGCGGGAAGTGATGCGGCATGACAACATCCCACTCGAAAAAGTCGCCTTCCAGCCAGTCCGCTGTCCGGATGCTGTTCCTCACGTAGATCTCCAAGGATCGAACGCGCTCCCTGAGGTGTTTCACCTGGTTCTCCATGCTGACGCCGGCCTTGTCGTAAGGGTAGTTGTAGCTGAGGATACCGTAGCGGCCGTGGGGGTCAGGTTCGAGCTCGGTTCGGGCGATTGCGAGGACTTGTTCCGACGCCTCACGCTTGGCTTTCTGTCTCTTCGAGACCGCAGGAGAAGACTACAGAGGCACAGAATGTCAGAAGTGTGACAGGGCGATGCGGGAGACATCCCACCTCGTTGGCTTCTGGCTTCCGCTTGGGGCGACCCATGTTGACGAGAGGATGTCAGAACACAAGATTTCAAGACACAACCGAGAGAGTGTGAAGAGTGTGAGGATGAAAGAGATCGGTAGAAGGAAGAGTCGGCGATGGCCAGGTGTAAGGCTGCAGTCTGGGAGGAAGAGCAGTACTTGTCCAAGACATGGCGCTTTGTCTGATGAAACGGGTCCTTGCAAGAGACCAGAAAACACCTGAGCTTATGCCATCTCCGTGCCGGCTCTTTCAAGTCGCCGCTTTCTTTCCTTTCCTTTCCTTTCATGACCTGATGACCCGTCGTCAAGCGGCCTGGGCGCCGTCTGCCAGCCAAATGCATCGTAGCACCCAGCCTGAACCATGGATTGCCAAGCCCCAAACCTGGTGAAATAGCTCCATATTGTAGCAATGCGCCCTCTGAGCACCGCCTCTGGACATCATACAGTCTTCTAGAGAATACAAGGGGATGGAGGCGGGAGGAGGGGAAATTCAAATGCTCTCCGGAATGTTCCAGCGGCTTTGAATAACAGTGGGCGACCGCGAACAATCATCTCGGTGATGTTCTATCCCCTCCAAGACTGATTGCGCAGGAGCCTGCACAATATCCAACTCAGGCCTGGTATTGTTGTCCTGACATGCATGCGGAACCGGGCTATAGGAGCACTTAGAACAGATCTCTGCCGAGGAGATAGCATATAATGCGCAAAGAACCGCACCAGCGTAGAAGAAGTGAGAGAAGAATACAATAGCCAGGGCTAAGCCCAGCGTCCGAGGATACTTGTTTTGTATAGATGTTGCTGATAGGAGAGTGGTATTCCACCCAAAACTCCGATGATTTGTAGTGGTGTAACCCAGTTCAAGCAGATTACCGCCCAACTGAAAGAATATGAGCAGCCGTAGCGTTGTTTGAGCAACCTATCCGTGGCAAATGTTAAATATATGCCTAACAGAAGCACATTGGAAAGCTTACCCAGTTATGAAGATGCATTCTCCGCGCCATCTCGGACAGCATGACAAGTGAGCAAAGAGCAACACAAAGAACCGTCATGCTATTTCGCGTAGTAACCAGCACCGAGTGAGCAATGGCTAGTCGACTCCTGTAATCGTCCCAAACGGTGTAGAGAGCCAGTCTGGTCCCAATGCTGAGAGTGCAGATCCAGAGTACAGCGAGAACTCCGACAACTGCCCGGCGTGGGACTTTAAGGGTGTTGTGGCCCTTCACTATCCTGTAGATGGGAAGCATAAGAACTGCAGTAAGAATGAAGTCCGCAAGGCCTTTGAGCCAGTCGGCCGTTTTGGATAGATAAACGATATAGAAGCCGTTGGAGTCCCATCCTTTGTACCCAATCATGATGAGTTCCAAAAGGGTTGCTCTAGAGGTTGCGGTGAAAGGTTAGCTTCATCGAAGCTTACACATAGTCTTGTCATGATAAGGTTGAATATAAGAAGACTGGAATTGTACATAATTGCAGGGAATATCGAGCTCATTAGCAATAACCATTCGTTGCTCGTTTTCATCCTGCGGCGGACAATGAGGTAGGCAATAACCACATAAATCTCAAAGAATAATGCAGTGAAAATGAGAGTTGTGGCTGCATAGATCGTGCCCATTTTCCACAACCACGGAAGTGTTGATTGGAAAGAGTGTTATGACAAGAACAGCGCAGGTCGATCGGGGATGGGGAAGCAAGAAAGGGAAAGAGTGTTGAAGAGGTGAGAAAATCCCTGAAGTGAGACCACGCGACTGCCAGACACGAGGATGCTGAGGCAGTGTTGGCAAGGTCTAGCCACGGTCTGTCAGATTTCACACTGATGAGATATTTATAGTCAATCCTGACCAAGGATAATCCTAGGTTGTCTTTCCAACCAGTGGCTTGATAGGCAACGAGCCCGGTTCATACCGTGCTAGCTAGATAAAACCACCTGGGCAATTGGCTATACAGCCTGTCCTCATAGTCTGACACTGTCCAGCCCTGGCTCGGTGACGTGGCATTTAGTTTTGTGCAACAAGGCACGGCTGAACAAGGCTGAAGCTGACTGCTCCAGAGCAACCAGATATATGTGGACGATGAACCCAGCACAAGTGTCAGCTGCAACAACGCGGCGAGCGCACACCTCGCGATGAACCAGCCAAGGCGGATTGTTTCTGTGGCCAGAGGATTGTGGCCATTTCTTCATCGGCAGAGCACCCCGTCGCACTTGCCTGATCAGATTCCCTTGCAAGAGCTTCGAGAGCCCATCCTCGATCAAACACCGTTGCCATCGCTCTTACCATTATCGCTGTGATTCTCGCCTACATCAGGAATGATGCTCGTGGATTCTTGTCGGCTACGGTATATCAGGGACAATGTTCAAATGCGCAGCGCTGGGCAACTGGCCTACATCTTTTGATCAATGTGCTAAGCACGGCAATGCTGACTGCAAGCAACTATTGCCTACAATGCCTTGCCTCACCGTCACGACCAGAAGTGGATGCTGCACATAACCAACAGGGCTGGCTCAGGATAGGCGTCCCAAACGTCGCTGGTCTAGTTATTTTTTGCAAGGGACGAAGGCGATACCTGGGTATCACCTTGTTGCTGACTTCGTTGCCTATCCATATGATGTTTGTTCCGCCCACGGTAGAGTCTGAGTTCGCGACTGATCCGCCTGTTATCTGTTACAGTTACAACTCCGCGACATATTTTGCGATGGGGCCATCGGACTACCGCATCGTCTTGGTTTCTGTTAACGGGACGTTGCAAATCGATCGAACGCCCTCCAGTGATGCTGCTGATCAGGCTTGTTCAAGGGCGCCTTTTGACATGGATTTATCCAACTTCACCATCTCCAGCTGGGAGGGCAGATTACAGAATCTCTCCAAGGAAGAGTGCCTGGACCAGTTTGCGCAGAACTATGTCTACGGTCACAAATTTCTTTTCCTCGCTACCAACGCTACTCTTCCCGATGACCAACTCTTCCCGATGACTAACGCTTGCTCTACGTGGGCGAAAGCAAGATGATCGATGAAGATAGAGGTAAAGATGAGCGTCCGTTTGAGTGGATGTGCCACAGTCCTTCTGAGACCGAGTGTTCTGAAGATCATGTCAAGGATAACCTTGAGTCCTGGCTTCTCTTAGGTGATGCCTTGTCAATCCCTGTCCTTCAGCTATCTATCCCAGACATGGAGTATTCAGGAGGAACCTTTACCACAGAATCCCTGGGGGTGCGTAATTCCCGGTACTTACCAGATTATCAGCGTCTTTACGATATCCTGCGATATGACCGACCTGAAGAGAGGGCGTTGAGAGCTGATCTGGACAACGCAACTCTCTGGGAAAACAGTTCCTGGGCGAAAGACGTGGAGATTCTCGGCGGCCACACCCAATGGTGCAGGGAACCGGTCGATGAGCTATATTTTCCGATTCAATACTGCTTAAGCCTACCAGACGAGCAGAGGTGCCAGCTGGGTTTCACTCCACCCACCTGTCTCATTGTCATTACTTGCAACATCATCAAGCTAGTCTGCATGTTTCTAGCACGCCGTGACGACAGAGACGACCCGCTCCTTACGGTCGGAGATGCTATATCGTCGTTCCTCACTCGCCCAGACCCTACCACCAAGGACGCTGGCTTGCTCTCTGTCACCCGTATTAGGAATAACGCGTTTGACTGGCATGAAAGCTACGTACAATGCTGTTATTGTCATCTCTGTGAGATGAGGAAACAAAGCCATCAACAAAACAAGCAACTCCCAAAGCCAGGAAGATGGTCGGATGCCCCCAGCAAACACCTCTGGACAAACATGCTGTTGGTGTGCGTCCAGCGACCCCTATCACTTTGACCTCCGCAGCTAACCAAGCATATCACAGGTCTGCAATTTTGCTTGGTACGACCGGGGGTATGCTGGCCCTCGGCGTTGTGAGTATACACCAGTATTATAGCACAACGAGTATCTGGGACTACGGGCTGGGAGAGGTCAATCCGGCCACCCTGATCACCGGTCTGGGCCTCGAAGACGAAGGCGCCATGATCGCTATCATCCTCTTGTCCAACACCCCGCAACTTCTGATTTCACTCACGTACTTCATGTACAACAACATATTATCCAGTATGCTCCTGGCCGCTGAGTACGACGACTATGCAGCAGAGCGGAAACCCCTTCGAGTGTCCTGGCCCAGAGGCGCCCAGCGCTCCACGTACTACTTGAGTCTACCCTACCGCTACAGCGTCCCATTACAGGTTTCCTCGGCACTCTTACACTGGCTCGTCTCGCAAAGCCTTTTCTTCGTTCGAATTGTCTCCTACAATAGCCGCGGAGAACCATATTCCTCTGAAGATACCATCACCTGTGGTTACTCGCCCCAAGCGATCATCTACGCGATGATCCTGGGCGGCGTCTTGGTCGGAGCCGCGCTTGTTCTTGGCTTGCGTCGCTTCAAATCACGCATGCTGCTTGCTGCGTACTGTAGTGCTGCTATCAGTGCGGCGTGTCACCCATGCGTAGAGGGTGATCATGCACTGAGACCTGTTCAGTGGGGTGAGATCGTGGTCGATTCCTCTCCTCCCCAGCACGAGGATGAGCAAGCATCTGCATCCGAGAGGGAGCGTAGCGAAGGCGACCCATTGACAGGTGAAGAAGGAGATACGGTAGCAACGGACAGTGGTTCCTATCCGGCGAACGAGAATGAGCGAGGATCTGCATCTGAGGTGGACTCTGGGGATAGTGATCCATTGACAGGAGAAGCGGGAGATACGCCAACAAACCAGAATGGCTCGGATTCGGATTCAGGGAACATCAGATACTTCCATTGCAGCTTCACCTCGGCGGAGGTAGTGGTACCCGATGCCTCGAGACAGTACATCTAAAACACTCTCCCAGATCATTACATGGCAACGGATTATTACAACCACTCCGTCCCACCCGTAAACCTCATCTTTAAACTATGCAGCTTAGCGTCCATAAATCCACCTGGCATTTACGCCTCTTCATTTATGCTGCTTACGTGGATGCATCGAAGTCCATACTCTACCTAGGCGCTTGCCTGGGGATCAGGAATAAAAGAAGGTCAATGTCTCTGGCGTGCAAACAAAAGTAAGGCGTAGGATTCAAGGACATATTGCTTGTTATCTGTATGGGGCATGCTGGACTATTTGCGACCAACAAAAATACAGCATCGCAAATCTCATCACTGTTTCAGCACGCGATCTCCGAGATATCGCCTTTCCATTGGCATATTTCTGCTAAGCTCGCCTCGGCAGTGTGGCGCAACGACAAGACCCGCCAACTTCTTGGGCGCAGGCTATGCCTACGACCATTGTTCTGGGAACCTACAACACAAGAGTATCACCCTCGAGAATCCTGCTGAGAAACAATGCAAATGTGGGGTTACATGGGCTCCTCACGGTATGTCCGTCTAGGTACGACTTGGCTAACTCACAGTGGTATAGCTATAAAGGACCATAGGGTAGAGCCAATACCACGGTGTTCAGAGCAGAAAACCCTTGGCTGGTGTTATTATACTGCATTGATAACTCCCGATGCCTGTTTCCAGGCACCAGCATTCTCATCCATCACAAGCACTAGGCCATGGCCCTTATTTCTGCTTGGTGGAGGATGTGAATAACCCAATTTCCACCCCGCACAGCATATCCCTGTCGACACCATGCGTGATTGCAGAATTTCCCCGGATTCAGCCCTGTTGGTACTCCACCTATCCCAAAGACCGGGCGCGCATTCTTCAGGCTCAGGAACAATTCTTCAGCACAATCTCCGGTGGGGACGATAAAGCTAGCAGAGTATTTTCTCCGCTCCACCAATCAAGCTACCGGGCGATATGCGCAATGCGACTGTGCAATAACGGCAGGCGCCACCGGAGGAGCGGACTCGGGAGAAGACCCGTTTTGGATACGGACAATGCGGCCAATGATTAGGGCTGGGATATAAAATCACACAACTGGTCGTGCTCAGGAGGAGCTCGGTGATATCAAAGACATCAAGCTGAAGTTTGCCTGTTTATCCCAACATGAGGCTTCGCACATCTATCCTGTCTTTGCTGGCTGCAGCTGCTACTGGCACCAGCGCCGCTGGGGTGACCGGTTCAGCAGAGGGCTTTGCAAAGGGGGTGACGGGTGGTGGGAGTGCAACTCCAGTTTATCCCAGCACGACTGCAGAGCTGGTCTCGTACCTGGGAGACAGCTCAGCCCGCGTTATCATCTTGACGAAAACGTGGGCTAGACAATCATAACCAAGAAGGGCTCTGGCTAACTGGCGGACAGGTTCGATTTCACTGGCACTGAAGGGACTACGACAGCCACCGGGTGTGCACCCTGGGGTACCGGCTCCTCGTGCCAACTTGCCATTAATCAGAACAATTGGTGCACGAACTATGCGCCTGATGCTCCGTCGGCCTCGGTTTCATAGTGAGTCGTGCTCCAGTTTGTTCTGAGCGCCTTGCATACCTAGAGGGTTGCTAACTGTTAACCTTTAGTGACAATGCTGGCGTGTTGGGCATCACTGTCAAGTCCAACAAGAGCTTGGTGGGCGAGGGCTCCAGCGGTGTGATTAAAGGCAAGGGCCTTCGGATTGTCAGCGGCGCAACCAACATCATCATCCAGTGTGTTTCAATTTTATACTGCAGTCAAGGAAAGTACTAACCAGAACACAGGAACATCGCCATCACGGATCTGAACCCCAAGTATGTCTGGGGCGGCGATGCAATCACCATCGACAATTCAGATCTTGTCTGGATCGACCATGTCACGGTCAGTTCCACGAACATGCAATATACAAAATACAACTAACATTACCACCATAGACTGCCCGCATCGGCCGCCAACATCTCGTCCTGGGAAGCAACGCCTCCAACAGAGTCAGCGTGACAAACAACTACTTCAACGGCGTGACCTCCTACTCCGCCTCCTGCAACACCTACCACTACTGGGGCATCTACCTGACCGGCTCCAACGACATGGTGACCCTCAAGGGGAACTACATCTACCACATGGCCGGACGAAGCCCCAAGGTTGGCGGGAATACTCTTCTCCACGCGGTACGTACCCGCCCATACCATCCCACCCAAAGGGTACTAGTCCTAACTAACATCTCAGGTAAACAACTACTGGTACGACTTCAACGGCCACGCCTTCGAAATCGACTCGGGCGGCTACGTCCTTGCAGAGGGCAACGTGTTCCAGAATGTCCCGACTGTTCTGGAGGGGTCTGTCGGTGGCCAGCTGTTTACCTCGCCCGACGCGAGCACGAATGCCGTTTGCTCGACGTACTTGGGTCATACATGCCAGGTCAATGGCTTTGGGAGCTCTGGAACTTTCAGCCAGGCGGACACGGGCTTCTTGGTCAACTTCTCCGGCAAGAATATTGCGTCGGCGTCGGCGTATACCTCGGCCCAGAGCAGTGTTCCGTCGAATGCGGGGCAGGGGAAGCTGTGAGGCTTGACTGTGAGGTTTTGGTAGCTGGTGAACTCATGTTAGCTACAGCGAGGTTGGAATACAGATTTACTGGGAGAATGTTTTTACGAAATGCTCGCAGATATATATAGTTTCAATCAAATGGTACAGCTGGGCAGGTCAGCCATTGACAATGCGCGCCCCAACAACAGCAGCAGCAATAAATCACTATGGTGTATATCCAGTTGAATTCAAAGACCTTCTATCCGTCTTCTGCCAGTGCAGGTGAGGATACCATAGTCTCCTGCTAGATCCAACGCCGAGTCCTCTTCGTTGCTGAACGATCATGTGACGAGTATAAGCCACACCAATTACTCAGCGGGGCACAAGGCCGCTAGTGCATGCATAATCTGGTCTACATGGGGATCCGGCCAATGGGATAGCGACGGGAATTCCGGCCCGGAGCGGATGACTAATGGCGGACTTGGAAGAGTTGTCACACCACCATGACTCCTTTCCCCTCCAATCCATCACATCTCATCCTCAAAATACCTAAATCATGGCTGAACATCCTTCTTTCACCCTCTCTGCTCTCCGTAAGCTCTCTCCAAGACATTCCCGTTGAAACCGTGCTGACATTCCCAGTCTCCGCCGGCGGCATCGCCGGCTTCATGAAGACGCGCTCGCAGCCGTCTCTCATCGCCGGTCTTGGTCTAGGCGTCTCCTACGCCTTCTCTGGTACATATCCCATCAAACATTTTCTCTCCAAGCTAACGTATCAGGCTACCTCCTCAAGCAAAACAAGGACTACGGCGCCGAGCTGGCCCTGGCGAACAGCGTCGTCCTCCTCGGTGCCGGCGCCTCGCGGACACTCAAGACCAAGGCTAAGGCGCCTGTGCCCATGGGTCTTGCGGCTGCGGGTCTCCTGGCGTCGCTTTACTATGCGAAGAAGGTGAAGGAGTTTAACTATGGCGTTTAGTTTGAGGTTTGGTGGGTTGTGACGGGATTTCTGTTTGTATATTATTTTGGTTCGGCTGTATTATGACTCTCCGCTCAATCGATTTAGCTTCTCTTGGAATCTGCAGGGTTACCTGGGTTGACTCCGAAAAATCGCGTCATCCTGTATGGGTTGTCCGTCGGTCTATCATCAGAAACTAAACGTCTCCCCACCACTGCAATTAACCACCTGCCCCGTCATAAAGCCCGCCTCAGGACTCGCAAGAAACGCAATAGTGCGCGCAACATCAATAGGCTTCCCATCGCGCTTCACAGCCCGGTTCTCAAGGATCTTCTCCCGGATGCCCTCATACCCGTCTTTACTCCTCATCTCCTCCGTATCAATCAGACCAGGCATCACCGCGTTAACGGTCACACCCGGACCAGCCTCAACGGCCGCGGAACGCACAAGGCCAACGACGGCTGCTTTGGACATAACGTACGCGGACAATCCGGGCTTGGGATCCGCGTATGTGGTGGACGAAGTATGGATGATTCGCCCGAACCCGGCTTTCTGCATGTGCGGTAGGACGGCGCGCGTGAGGAAGAAGCTGCCGTTGACATTGACGGAGATGTGTCGGTGGTACAGCTCGGATGAGTACTCGGTTAGAGGCTGGAAGCCGTAAATCCCGGCGAGATTGGCGAGGACGTCGATTCTGGCGTAGGTTGATATTGTCCACGCGATTGCAGCGTTCACGTCGGGTTCATCGCTGACGTCGCATTTTCGGGTGTCGGCCTTTCCGCCGGACGCTTGGATTAAGGATTGTGTTTCCTTTAGGCCGGACTCGTTGATGTCTAGCAGGATGAGCTGGGCGCCTTGGGCGGCGAAGTGGTGCGCTGTTTCTCGCCCGATGCCTGCTGCCGCGCCTGTTACGACGACGACCCAGTCCTTGAATTTTGTTGGCTGGATTGTCGGCAGGTGAAGATCGTTGGGTGGGGAGGGCTCGGTGGCTGCCATGGCTTGCTAGCTGGATATAGCGAATGGCAAGGAAAGAGTAGCTTTTGTCTGGGATATTGATGTCGATGGGTCGATTCTAAGACTGCTATGGTGGGAAAATAGATTAAAGGGATGGAGGGGTAGTCAGGACAGAGCTGGAGGGGTTGGAAGAAGCAGCTGGATCCCCCAGCCACCTCCAGCTGAGCGCTGCTTCAGCCCCGCCTGCCCCTCGTTTTTTTGCGGACTGGAACCAATCACTGCGTGTGTATTAGTGCATCCAGATGCCCGGATACAGCAGCATTGGAGATATCACGCGTGCGAACAGCTCCAACATCTGAATTGGACATGATTGGTGTTCTACGCGCCATCGGTAATCACACTGTCAGCCCTGGAGGCTGAGCCAAGGTACGCGCGGCCATCTGCAGCTGAAGCTCAAGCTTAGCTCTTTTGAAGGATTCTGAATGTCGCAGTCTCCAATCAGAGCTGTTGAGTATGGTATTTTCTGTGGAGTATAGTTGGGGACCGTGTGGGCTATTTTTCTTATTGTAATGCAGGTGGCTGTCTCAAGATCTTAGCACATATACAGTAATTCGATTAGGGTTAAATAAAATCAATATCATTTTTCGTGTCTTCCAAGGCTCTGAACGCGGATCGACAATATTTGGAATGCACTTTGCTCAGCCATCCGGTATAATATTAATATGGTCTAGTTATCTCGCAATCACGGTATCTGTGCCTGAAACATGATACCATCTGCTAACGCCAACAGAATACCATACTCAGCCATGACAGGGCATAACAGGTACATTGGCCGCCCGAAGATGACAGGGATGCGAGCAGGTACATCGAGAGTGGCAGGGGTAAGGGCGAGCTTGAGCTTGAGCTAGAGCTAGAGAGCAAGCGCACGGGCGCGGTGGTGACCAACAGAAGTGCTGTAGAGGCAGATCAGCCGTAGATGGAGGCCTGGTCCCCACCATCCTATAGCTGACACTGTTCTCAGCTTCCAGTTGTACACAGCGTCCCTTCTCCACGTGGACCTTCCTAGCAGTCGATCGCGTAAACGACTTCCCGCATCGCTTGCAGTCATACCGTCTCGACAGCCCGTGCTTCTCCTTCTGGTGGCGGTTGAAGTTCCCCAGCGACGCAAATTGTTTACCTTCGCAGCCGAGCTCAAAACAGTGGTAGTAATGCAGGCGTCGGCGCGTTGGCTTTGGATGGAGGTGATGAAGTTGGATGTCGGGGAGCGCAGGGGAGATGGAGCTGGCGTCTTCAGCCTCGGGGTTAGGGCTAAAGAGAGGACTCCCGCTGAAATCTGGGCTAGGCATGAGATGGAGATTGTTGCCGCGCATGAAAGGGTCCTGGGCGCAAGGGGCGAGGGAAAGCGAGAAGGGAATCTGATCCGTGCTGTTCGGGCTGCCATCTGTCAGCTTTGGCATGGATATTCATGCAGGCTAAAGAAAAGGTTCCCTACTCTCCGCCGAAAACACCGCCGGAACTGCTGTCCCTCTCCCAGCTGAAAGGGGACCCTGTATCATCGCATCGCAACAATTCCGACACGTCCACATCTCCACCAAGCAGGAGGTCGTCGGCAATATGTTGTTGTTGAGGGGCCGCACTCTGCGCAGCGGATACGTCGAAGGTAAGTAAAGAGCACATGATGGCAAATGTTGAGTATAACAGGCAATACAATCAGCCAGTGCTTACCCCGGGTGCAATTGTCTTTAAATATCAAGGGGCACGCGACAGCCCAGAGGCACAGATAACCAACCCCAAGCACGAGAATCCGAACCACGCGGGCGCTTAACTAGGACGCAACCAACTGCAGTAGCTATATTGGCCCGGACGGTTCAGCGGTTGAGGCGGGAGGGCGTGATTAGGTGCAGGCATTTCCAGGCCCCCAGGTCCCAATCAACCCCTGCACATTCCCTCCATTAGGGCCCCCTGCGTATCGGCTAGCCTGTGCTATCTACAGTCTGCAGGGATCGCGTGCACTAAGGGGAGCACATTGCGCCATTTGGAATAGTGAGATGCTCAGCCTTGGAGTATGGCGTGTAGACTGCTATAAGGGCACCAATGAAATGCGAAATCGTGCTTGCGTAGGAACCGTATGGGATACGGACATCGCATTTCGATTAATCAGAAGCTGAAGATCGGGTTAGATATCTTTCGCCCCAAGTCCCGTCCACCAATCCTCCCCAAACCGCATGTACCAGCTCGCCGTGGCCCCCAAGCCCTTGTCAAACTCCACCTCCTGCTTCCACCCCAGACTCTCCAGCCTCGAGCTGTCCACCCCATACGCCCGATCATGCGATAACCGGCCCGGCACATCCTGGATCCAATCCCACACGCAGCCATCGCGCTGTCTCCCCACCAGGCTGAACAACGACTCGCAGACCCGTGCGTTCGTAATCTCGTCCCTCGAGCTGATGTTGTAGATCCCGCCTTCCTCGCCGCGGTGGAATATGATGTTCATTGCGTTGGCGGCGTCCGTGACGTACAGGTAGCACCGCGAGTAGAGCCCGCTTCCGCGGTGCAGGGTCATTTTCTGGCCGTGCTTGAGGAGCATGAGGAACTTGGGGATGATTTCTGTTCCCACCAGTCAGTGCGTGCGGTAAAATACGGCAAAGGGAGAAAATAGACCTAGAGGCACCTACTTTCCGGATACTGACACGGGCCGAATATGTTGTTCGGCCGCAGGATCACCGTCTGCAGCTTATATGTCTTCGCATACGCCTGCACCAGCATCTCGGCCGCAGCCTTGGTCGCCGAGTACGGATTCGTCGGGGCCAGGGGATCCGACTCGACGTGGTTGCGTGCAAACGGCATCAGCTCCCCGTATACTTCGTCGGTCGACATATGGTAGAACCGCTTGACGGTGCCGACCTTGCTGCATGCCTCGAGTAGGGTCTGTGTGCCGAGGACATTGGCTCGCGTGAAGGCGTATGGGTCCGTGAAGCTTGCGTCGACGTGTGTCTGCGCGGCTAGGTGGAAGATTGTGTCTATTTTGTGGGTTTTCAGGCATGAGAATACCTGCTCTTCGCATGCGATGTCGCCCTTTACGAAGGAGGCGCTGTCCTTGTATTCGGCTAGGAAGGCTAGGTTCTTGGTGGATGCGCAGTATTCGAGATTGTCGAAGATGATGATTTTGTAGGAGTCTGGGTAGACGCTCGCGAACATGTATGCGAGCCATGAGCCGCTGTGGATTTGTCTGTTGGTTGAGTAAACCCTTGAAAGACAATGGGCTGAATGCATACATGAAGCCAGCACCGCCGGTGATCAAGATGTTTCGGACATCAGGGCGAGGCTGGCAATGGGTGAACTTGGGCGGGAGGAGGGAGCTGGGATGAGGCAGATGCATGTTGGATCTGGGGTTTGCATGTCTGGTGCCAGAATAGATCTGGCATTTATTGCAGATCTCCATATAGATCCCAGTCTGTCATTCTATGGTATCATTGCAGTTTCAGGGCGGCCTAATTCCTTCTCTTCCGCCGTGGTTCCTGCAGTTCCTGCACGATTCCTCCATCCAAACCCCTGCCAAATGCCTGGGCGCCTTTCTGCTGGCGCTAAACGGTCGATTCGTAACTACGGCGCTATGTCAATATACTTGAGGGCACGAAGGAATCCCGCGGCACGGCGAAGGATCGCCAAGTCAAGCGCATATTTCCGTACAGGCAATCAATATCATAAGACAACTCTAGCCGCCTGCGGTGGAAGAGATACGACTGAAAAATACGCCCGGCATTGCTTTAGATTTCCAGTTTCAACACTACGACTCTTTTCCGCGTCAAACAACACGATGACACCTCAGCCCAAAATCCTCATCTGGGGCAAAGGCGGCTGGATCGCCACGCACCTCAAGCAGCTCCTAGAGCGCCAGATCCCCGAGGTCGAGGTCGCTGAGACTGCAATCCGCATGGAAAATCGCGAAGCCGTCCTGGCCGAGCTGGACCGCGTCAAGCCCACGCACGTCCTCAACTGCGCCGGCAAGACAGGACGACCCAACGTCGACTGGTGCGAGAGCAACAAGGAGGCCGTGATCCGGAGCAATGTTGTGGGCGCGCTGAATCTGACGGACTGCTGTTATTTGCGCGGGGTCCATGTTACGCATTTTGCTACGGGGTGTATGTCTTTTCTATATTTCCTTGCTCTAGTTCTTGTGGCTGATATGGCTCTTTAGGTATATACACGTACGACGAAGCCCACCCGATCGGTGGACCGGGTTTCAAAGAGACAGACAAACCCAACTTTGCGGGATCCTTTTACTCTAGGACAAAAGGTCATTTTGAACAGGTACGCCTCGGTTTGACTGCAAGTGAACACTGAAACATCGGCTAATCCCCACCAGCTGGCCTCCGTCTACCCATCCACATTGATCCTACGCCTCCGCCTCCCCATCTCCGACGACCTTCACCCACGCTGCCTGATTACAAAGATCACCGCATACGAGCGCGTAATCAACATCCCGAACTCGGTGACTGTACTACATGATCTCCTCCCGGTAGCCGTGCGTCTCGCGCTGGGCAGCGAAACAGGGATCTACAACTTCACGAGCCCTGGGGCTGTCTCGCATAATGAGATCTTGGAGATGTATCGCGAGATCATCGATCCTGCGTTCCGATGGGAGAACTTCACGGTGGAGCAGATGCGCCATGTTGTTGTTGCGGAGCGCAGCAACTGTGCGCTTGATGTGAGTAAGTTGGAGGCTAAAGCCAGGGAGTTTGGGATTGAGATTTCGAATGCAAGGGAGGCGGTTAGGCGGTCTTTGGAAAGGAGTAAGGGGCTGTAGATATGATGCTGACTTGAAATGGGTAAATACTGTATCTGGCCCGAGCCCTGGAATGGAGTCATGCTTCTCCTTCTACCACTTCACGTTATGTAGGTATCTATCGATCATCTCATACCATACCAAACTTGAAATTCAAGATGCTATTACTATGTCGTCCCCATCAACCTCGTAAAAACACCCTCTCGATCCTTTATCAAAATCCCCGGAGAGCCCATCTGCACAACCCTCCCCCCAACAACCACACACGCAACATCCGCCCACATCACCAACTCCGGACTATGTGCAACCATAACAATCGACTTGCGCCTTTCCCGCTTCTCCGTCTGAATAGCAGCAACAATAGCGCTCGCAGACTCCACATCCAACGACGCCGTCGGCTCGTCGAACAGCACGATCTCCGTATCCCGCACCAACGCCCTCGCAATCGTAAGCCGCTGTCTCTGTCCGACGGAGAGTTCCTGCGGTCGCACGATGGTTTCAAAACCTGCCGGTAGAGAAAGGATGAAGTTTAATATCCCGGCCTGCGCGCAGGCGGCTTCGATCTGCGCGTCGCTTGCTGATGGGTTCCTGAGTGTGATGTTGAACTTGATTGTCCCTGTGAAGAGGACCGAGTCTTGTGGAACGAGCGAGATGGATGAGTGCTGCGTGATTATGTCCTGATCCCTGAATGTGATTGTACCAGAGGTAGGCGTGTACAGACCCGCTAGAAGGTTAAGGATCGTGCTTTTTCCGGACCCCGAGGGCCCGACGATGGCGATGGTCTGGCCTGTTATAAGGGTGACAGAGAGGTTCTGGATGCTGGGGGCTGTGGCATTTGGGTGGCGGAAGGTGACGTCGTCGAAGGTTATGGCGTCGTCTTTGGGCTCCATCTCGATGGAGTCATGTCCAGTTAATGATGGGGTTGTCAGGACTGACGCAGGAGAGGTTGCGGATGGACTGCCCTTTGCTTCTTGATACGGAGATAATTCTTTGACGCGTTCGGCTGCTACGATGGCCAGGGACAAGTCTGGCAGGAGACTTAAGGCCTCGCCCGAGTCCTGGGCGCCAAAGGTTAGGGCTATGAAAACGGCAAAGAACTGGTACAGAGTGATGGAGTTGTCTTCCATGCAGCGCGCGCCGTACCATATGGCGAAGGCGTTGACTGCGTAGATGAGGCCTTGCGTCGCGGCAAAGAAGACAGAGTACCGCCAGGTCGAGAGAGAGGCTGACTCTGATGCTTTTGTGAGCTGACTGTCGTACATATTGAGGAAGTGTCCTTGGGCTCCGAGCGAAGTCACGGTGAGGATAGACGTAATCGCCTCACACGCGATCTGTGTGGATGTTCTGTGCCACTCTGTAATCGATCGGAGAAAAGTGCGCATTGTGTGGATGCGGAAGTAATATGAGACGAATATCAGGGGGATCACGGAGATGACGACCAGTGCGTATTTCCAAGAGATCACCACAGAGAATATTGTCACAGCGGTCATGTTTGTGATGATCTCGACGAGGATGGAGACAGATACGCCGTGCAGACCGGCCAGATCGCGGTATTGGTGAAGAAGAAGGAAGACGAGCGAGCTGGATGAGTTGCGGTCTGTTGCGAACCATGTAACTCCCTTGCCCAAAATGCCTTGGAAAGAAAGTGAGCGGACTCTGTTGAGCATTCTGTCGAAGGATACACTGAATGCAAAGGTCGAAGCGCCGTGTGATATGCCGCTGACCAGGGCGATGAGAAAGAAGAAGACCGCGTAGCGGGTTGCTGATCTCTGGAAGTCACCCTGGGATGTAGCCTCCTGTTCGAGGACGATTGCTTTAGCGAAGAGAAGGGCTTGAAAGGGATATAGGCTGCCACTGATTACAGACCCAACGTTGCCCACGAGGAGGAGAAGCCATTCCGGCTGATTAAATCGGAGGATTCGGAGGAGGAGAACGAAGATTGACGCTCGCTCTGGTCCCGGCGCAGTCATTGAAATGCATTCAATTGAATCGTTCTCAATGCCGAGTGCCGGTTTCTCCTGGACATCTGGAGTGGTAGGACGGAGTGTGCCCAAGTCCGCTGAGTTAGGGCTCAGTGCCCTATCCTCCCCCGTTCCTTGTTGATGCAAAGCAAAAAGCGACCGGTAAAGCTGTCCGGACTGCAGGAGTTCCTTATGTGTCCCCTGTTCAGCAACCTTTCCTTGGCTTAGAACCACTATAGAATCCGCGTGTTTGATGGTATGCAGTCGATGCGCAATAACGATAACCGTGCGGCCGGCCGAGACTCTTTCCAGCACAGTCTGGATATGCGTCTCCGCGGCTTTATCCAGAGCGGAAGTAGGCTCATCCAGTATGAGAATTCGAGGATCGCGAACGATCGCTCGCGCAAATGCCAGGCGCTGCTTTTCGCCTCCACTCAGAAGAACACCGTCCGGCCCGAGAAGCGTGTTGTAGCCTTGTGGCAGGCTCTCGATTACCTTGGCAATTCCCGCAAGCTCGCAGGCTTCTTCGATAAGTTTGTCTTGATCTGTTACGGTCCCGCTTTCAAATGGCGTGCCGAGTAGCCCCAGCCGGACGTTTTCCAGGACACTCATCGAGAAGAACACGGGTTCCTGGGAGAGGAATGATATCTGAGACCTCAAGTCTGAGGGATCGAATGAGCTGATTGGCAGACCATCGATGAGGATATCCCCAGCTGTAGGCTCATAGAACTGCTGGATCAGCCCTGCAATCGTCGACTTGCCCGCACCCGAATGTCCTATCAGCGCTGTCGTCTGGCCAGACTCAATTGTCAAGTCCAACCCATCCAACACAGGGACAGCAGGGCGACTGGAATACGCAAAGTGCACACCGCAAAAGGAAACGTGGCCGTGAATGCGCGACCGGTGCTTCTTCTCTTGTACCATCGACATCACACCCTTCTTATCTCTGGAAATCATCTCAAACAGCTCATTCGCAAGACCAATCGCAACGCCAAATTCATGCAATGAGCGCGAAACTCGGCTAAGCGCAATCGTCCCAATAATCACAGCGTACAGAACATTGATCAATACACCCATGTCCAGATTATCCGAGATGAACAGCCTTGCCCCTTCCCAGAGAGCTAGAGCGTAGACCCCGAAGCGGACGAAGAAGACCCAGGTCCAGATAGCGGCTTGCCAGATAGACTTCTTGAGTAGAGCGCGGTCTGCCCGATGCAGCGAGCTTTCGTATTTCTCCGCTAGAGTATCCTGCGCTTGGAGCGTTCGCACAACCTTGACCGAGCTAACGGACTCAGCAACAACATCATGCGCATGGAGAATACACGCGGTCGCACTCTGGGCGTTCTTCGCGACCTGTGTCGAGATGACCATCGTCACCACAAACATGGCCGGGAGAACGGTGCTCAGGATGAGCGCGAGTTTCCAGCTGCGAACGAGCGCAACGATGAACGCGGAGACGAAGGTCGAGACCGACGAGATGAACACGCCCGTCTTCTGGGAAAGCGTGTCCTGCAGCGTGGTGAAGCTCGACGACATGGTGTCCGTTAGCTTCCCGACGCCCATATCGTCCAGACTTTGCACGTCCTGGTGCAGGAGAGAGCGGAAGTAGGCCCTGCGTATCCGCGAGCTGATGCTCTGTGATGCGAGCATCCAGCAGACTGTCTGGATGTACGCGGCCACAACTGCCCCGGCGGCGATTGCGCAGAGTAGAACGACCCGTTTGTTGACGTGTCTAGTGAGGTCGGAGGCATTCGTTGTCTCATCGGCGCTGGCGTAGATTTTGATGGAGGAGCCGATGAGGATGGTTGTGAGAGGCTAGGAGTTGTATTAGCACGATTTGCCTGCCGGATGTCTTGCAGAGGTGTGTTGTACCATCATAACGCCGGAAACAATACTCGCCAGGCATCCGATTAAAAGGAGGAGGATGTCGCGCTTCGACGAGTGTTGGATCAAGCCTGCCAGGCAGGACGGGTGCTGTTCCTTTGGCTTATCGAGTTCCAGAGATGTTCCCATCTTGACTAAGTCCCCTCTGTGACCTCAGCAATACCAGCAACAGGGTAGTTAGGAGCAGTTCTCTAAATCTACAGAAGGCACCTTGCTGTGGAATGGGCGTTGCACCTATTCGGCGTCTTGCCAAGCCAACTGAAGGATTCTCGAAGGAATCCGAAGGATTCGCGGAGGAATCACAGAGGAATTGCAAAGGACATGTATTATAGTAGGGAGAGCTGAAGTTATGCGAGGAATGGAAACCCGTAAGAACAAGCTCCGCTCTTCGGCTCCCTTTCTATGCCTATATCCCGTTGCACCATTCTACCTTGTATCATTCGACACTCACTGTGACCAGCAAGATGTATGCGATATCATTGAGAGAAGTCTTGGAACGATATCTCTTTTCTCGAGGTGAGATTCCAAAGAATCTCCACCAAGGCAGTCCGTTAACAGGAATACAGCTCTCAAAGTCAGCCTGCTGCCTGTTCTATTGACAATAAGTTACAAGCTGTTGGTCAATACAACGGTGAGAGAAAAGAGTAGCAATTGTCCTCAAGCCAAGAAAGAATATCAGACACTCCAAGCACGCTGTGAGGAACACGACCGCTCCCTGCCTGCCTATCCACAACCGTCCCTATCGGACGTCAAGCAGGAGATCATCCGCCTCTCCTCGATATTAGAAGACCCAGAATCGCACTCCGCCCTCCAGCAAGCTCTCCAACTCCCAGACCACGCCCTGGAGGCCGCCTACGAAGCAGAACTCAGCTCATGGACGTCCCGCGGCGCAACAAATTGGACAACGGAGAAGAAACGACTCGGGCTCCTGAAACCACGCAAGCCCCTGTCAACGCAGTGCCTGGCTACCACTCTACCTAAGTCTGGGAAAGATCTCCTATCGACCGCGGCCAGCCTCATGCATGCCATTGGTGTGATTGTTACCTCGCCGTGGATCATACGCACGATCGGGACCGACGGCAAACAGAAACAGTTTGAGACGAAACAGTTAGCTGAGGTCTTTGCAACAAACAGAGTCCCGGGTACAGGCATTGATAGCGTTCGGACCTTTCCTGAGTCGCGGCATGTCGTGGTCTGGGTGCGATCGCGTCCGTATAGGGTCGAGATTATCGATACGCAGGGCCAGCCAGTCTCTGAACGGTCGCTGACTGCAGTTCTCCAACGGATCCTGGAGCACTCGTCTTCAGACAAGATCCAGCGAGCAAACATAGCGTCGCTGTCGACATCGCTTGACAGGGATACCTGGGCGCAGGCACGAGAGGACATCATGCGTTCAGACGGCCCGTCAATGCAGACCCTGGAGAGCGCGATTTCATCAATTGCACTTGAATTGGGACCGGTTTGCACCGAAGCTGAGCGCTTCCATATGACCATGGCTGATACAGGCAATGTGTACAGCGACAAGACCATGAGCTGGTCTGTTTTCGCCGACGGCGGCCTTTCAGCGCGCGTCGACCATTCCGTTGCAGATGGGGGGTTCTTCGGCCGTCTACTGGAGGTCTTCATGGCCGTGATGGCAAGAAGCTCGCAAAGGACAATCCTGGGGAGGTTTCTGGGGCTCCTTGACTGGTCGTCGCAGCCCACCATTCCTGCTGCCTCTGGTCTGGAAATCACCTTTCATACAGTCGACACAGCACGCCCCGACCTCAGCCTGGCCTACCAGCCGCAGTACAAGAAGCAGGTATCCTTCTTTGAGATTACATTAAACCCAAACGCATTATCCCACCTCCGCAAGACCAAGCTCCTCAACCTCACAGTCCAACTGGCCTTCCAAGCATCCCTGATCCAAGCCCTAGAAACCACAAAGCTGCTCATCCTCGAGCCCACCTCCGTACGCCAGTTCGCAGACGGCAGGTCAGACCCCAACTTCGTCATAACCAGCGAATCCATCGCATTCTGCAAAGCTCTAGCCTTCGCCCAGCAAGACCATACCGCCCTCCTCCCCCTCTTCAAGAACGCAACGACCCGCTACCTCGCTCTCCAAAACCAGGCTAAAGCAGGGAGCTCGATATCAGCGGGGATCGCCTTCCTAGGTGCTGGACTGCGCTCTGTTACCCCGTCAGCAGAGACTCCGTCAGCAGAGAGGATCGTTCTTGCACGCTCGCTCGGCAAGATCAGTAACCCTATCTACTTCACCGGGTCGCCGAGTGCGCCGGCGCATGAGTACTTCGAGGCGTATATTTTCGCGGACGATCAGTTGGCGCTGGTCTATGTGGGGCAGAGCGAACGGCTGCTGGTTTCGATTGCGGCGTCTGGGAAGTTTAGGGCTTTGTTGCCCAGGGTTCGTGAGTTGATGGTTGATTATCTGGGTGTTGTTGCGAGGGTTGCTGGACTGGCTGGGGAGGGCGAGGCCTGAAGCTAGGTAGGTATCCGTATGGATGGGTACACCTATTTGACGAGAATACTTTAAGTGAATTCAACCAGTAGAATGTAGCCCAATTGCAGTTACATCCTCTTGCACTTAGCTCTGATGATCTTCGAAACGACGCCAAGCAGACAATCACATGGACCATGGCCATCTCTATCCCATTGAGTCAGGGCGTTCAGTTAGCCCAACTAGACCCTATGGTACCCTACTCGACATGGGAGAATCTGACCGAAAGGATATTGATGAGGTTTCATCAATGCGATTGTCTGGAAGGTAGATCTTCGCAAGTCATCACTTAGCGGAGAGCTGCCTCGGCCAACCATTTAAGATTGTCAATGACCCAGCGTTGAGGTCATGGCAAGGTGACATGCGAAAAAGCGGTTCAACCAGAGTTCACCTCAACGTCCCCATGATGCGGCAACATCCCCAGATGTCAATTCTCTTTTATTTTCACTTGCCGACCTCCAGGTTGCTTCTATCCCTGCCTGAAGACCACTCCCTTCCCTAGGCTACCATATCTCCCGCAATGCCCCCATCAGCCCACCCCTAACGCCATGCCTCACCATCCCAATCACAATGTCCGACCTCAACGCCGTCCCCCCAGGCCTGGTCTACGGCTTCGAACACGCCTCCTTCAGACTCCGCATGACAGCCGCTGTCTTCCTAGCCCTGGGCCTCTTCAACTCGCTCGAGCTCATCGTGCTGGTGTGCTGGACCTTCCGGCAATGGCGCGGCCTGTACTTCTGGTCCCTCCTGATCTCGTCATTCGGAATAATCCCCTACGTCATCGGCTCGATCCTGCACTACTGGAACATCGTGCCGCTGCCCGCCAGTCTGACCGTCGCATACGTCGGCTTCATCTGCATCGTCCCCGTGCAGAGTCTGATCCTTTACTCGCGCCTGTATCTGGTCTTCTACTACGCCAAGGTGCTCCGCGTCATGCTAGACGTCATCATTGCCGTCTCGGTGTCCTTGCTCATCCCCAACACAATCGCAATGTTTGGGTCTGCGTTCATCCGCCGCCCAAGCTGGAACTACGCGTACAACGTCACCGAGCGTCTGCAGGTTACCGGCTTCGCTGTCCAGGAACTCCTCATCTCGCTGCTGTACATCTACTCCACCGTCCGGCTGCTCCGTGTAAGTCCGGAGGGGAAAGACCGCGTCAAGCGGATCATGTACGAACTCCTCGGCATCAACGCGTTCACGATTGCGCTGGATATCGCGGTGATAGTGGTGGAGTATCTGAATTTCTACTCGCTGCAGATCTGCCTCAAGGTGTTTGTTTACAGTATCAAAGTGAAGCTTGAGTTCGCGGTTCTGGGCCGGCTGGTTGCGATTACGACCACCAGACGAACGAAGCAGAGGGATCGGGTGCGCAGGACGTCGTTCATCACGCATTCGTATGTGCTGAGTGATTTTACGAATGGGGGGACGGTCACGGAGAATGAGGATGGCATTGGGAATGAGCAGAGGCCGCTTTCTGTTAATGTTGACCAGGTTGATCGGCCTGTTGATGGGTTTGCGGATCGGGTGCCGGTGCAGGAGCATGAAGGGGATCGGGGGATCTCTACTGGGAGCAATCCTTCTACTCAGAGGATATCGTGGGCGGATGGGACCAGATCGTCTAGCAATTGATTGTACGTTTATCCCTGAGTACTTCTTTCTCCTGCTGATTTTTGGTGTGTAGAAGCTTCGATATGGACTTGACGGGGTGTAACCTTGAACAACGAACTTGGGCTGCGTCGATGCGGCAGTGAAAGTGAGGCAGATAAATTATTTATTAGGTTCAGTGTCGTAGACTATATGGAGGTCAAGTCCCATCGGTCTAGAATATACCTCCTGAGTAGTGACGTGTCACAGCGCATAGCGAAAGTCAGGGTGAAAGTCACCACCCTTGCCATACTCGATCTCATACTGCCTCTCCTCCTCGCTCATGGCATCTCTCTTCTTATTGTGATGCCGCAGGAGGAAATACAGCGAGGCATGCCCGCATCCAGCCAGGACTATGGATCCAAGGGAGAAACTCAGTCCCATCAGGTACTTCCCGTCAACGGTTTGCTTGAAAATCTGGCCGACCTACAATACAGGCAATGATTAGTCGTTGCTTAGTCTGGGTTGGATGATGGGGTTAGGGTACGTACCACAACACCTGCGGCATTCCCAATGGACTGGTTCATGCCTACCGCCGTTGCGCGTTTATAGTACCCTGCGTGACAATTGAGCAACCAGGCAGCATTCAGTCCAAGGACAACATAGATTCCAGGGGCAATTAGAAAGGTCGAAAAGTATTGAACGTCTTGGTTGGAAGAAGGCGTTCCCAAGTTAATGGCATACCCGATGGCTGTCACCAAGCAACACGGGATCATGAAAGCAGCACGCTTTGCATAGTGATCCGATAACCACGACACGGACAGAAAACCAATGGACGCCCAGAAGAAGACCGGGATCGTGAGCAGTTGGGTCTTAACGGTCCCAAAGCCAAGAGACCTGATGATCAACGGCAGGAAGGTCGAAAGCCCGAACGAGCAGATATCAGCCCAGAACTGGCTCCAGCAGCTGATGTACAGCTTGGGATCTTTGAAAGCGTTGACGACCTCAGCCCAGTCGAAGTCAGGCTTGCCGTTGTACTGGGCGTTAAGGGCAGCGCGGGTCCGCATAATCTTGCGATCGTCTTCGGTTAGAAAGCGTGCACTTTCGAAGTCGTCTGGGAGCAAGAGGAAGGTCAAGGCGGCTACAACTATACTACCGCAGCCTTCGATGATGAAAAGCCACCTCCAGCCTGCAATCCCCGCGACTCCATCCATCTTGAGAATGGCGTATGCAAACAACCCTCCGAACGCACCGGATAGCGCGGCGGACACTAGGAGATAAGACACTCGTAGCGCCTGCTCCTTAGGTTGGTAAAAGGTGCTCAGGTAGAGGCATAAACAGGGAAACATCCCTGATTCAAAAATGCCCAGGAGTAGACGACAGGCATACATTTGTCCGGCGTTGTGGATAAAGCCAGTTCCGATGGTGACGATGGACCAGCAGAAGATCAGGGCGGGAATCATTCTTCCTGAAGTTTTGTTAGCAGATTCTGCTGAACTTGACTGTTGTGTGTACAAACCTGGATGTAGCTTCTTCATCAGGAGCGAGCAGGGCATTTCGAATGACACGTATGTCACGTAGAACAATGTCACAGCGTCTGCCGTATACAGATCAGTATGAATCAAATCACTAGGTTGGAGATGACGGACTTCCAAGTTGATCGCTGGTCATATTCAAGTCGTCAGTCATCCCAGCAGACGCAGAATTCCCAATGTTGGATCGATCTAGATAGGCGGCCAGGAAGATGACCGTCATTAGGGGCGCAAGGTAGGTGTCAAGCTTCAATAAAAGCTTCTTCTCCTTGTGGGGATCGATGTGAAAGACAGCATCCCCAACGCCAGCCGCGGTGGCGGTCTCGATGCTCATTTCCTTGTCCATGGTCAAAGATGTAATGCTTCGCAGGAAGATATGCTGGGGACGGAGGCGAACCTCGCCAGCCGCGTGGACGATTCTTTGACCTTAAATATGCCGGAAAGCGAAAAGCATCACGGCCGTTAGTCAGGACCAGACTGCTGGGACTTGGAGTACCTAATGATAGCCCATTGATAAGAGATACATGTCGTGGACATCAGTGGCCCGCGCATCAGCGATCGGCCTTTTTCCCCGCGCTCATCCCGATCAGCCATGATAAGCATCGGTCCGTAGATACTGGAATGAGGTTGACTAGATAGAGTCGGTAACGCCCTTCTTTTAAAGCAACAATTGTCATTTGAGACGTTTACCTGATGTATGCTGTATTTACTTCGAGAGTCAACTTATAAAAGATGTCTTCCCCTGTATGGTCTCGATACACTCGTTGCCGCTGTTGGGCTGACCAGTATCCCAGGTCTGGTCCCGTCTCGTCCGCTTCATCGCCGACGACGGATGCGAGTACTGCGGTGAGCCAGTTGACTCACAGCTTGATGGTAAGTGACACAAGCTTTTTCCTTATCCAATATGGCCGCTTATACACGCAGTCGGACTCGCTGTCAGCGAGGGACAATCTGTCCCGGTGAAAGTGCTAGACGCCAAGTCAGCTTTAGATGATGAAGCCTTGTTTACGGGGGAGCTCAAGACAATAAAGAAGGTATTCTTGTGTTCTGGGTTAAGCTCACCCTGACGAGCTGACCTAGTCCGGACAGCTGCTCTCTCCGGTTGCTGCAAGTGAGATCGGCACCATCCGATGCATCGGTTTGAACTATAAGGACCACGCTGTATGTAAGCCGACTGCCTCGATGAAATCAATGCTGACCCTTTGAAGACGGAGCTAGGATTGAGCTTACCCAAGATGCCCGAAATGTTCATGAAACCAGCAACGTGTATCACCGGACCGACTGACACCATCTATATCCCTTCAATTGTGACGAAGGCCGATCCGGAAGTGGAGCTGGCCGTGGTAATTGGGAAGGACTGCAAGAATGTGCCAGTAGCTGAAGCATTGGACTATGTGCTGGGATATACAACGGCCAACGACATCACAGCGCGCTGTCTCCAAGATCAGATGCTGCAATGGAGTTACTGCAAGGGATTCGACGGTTTCTGTCCCTTAGGACCAGCACTGGTATCAGCAAAGGCCATTCCAGATCCGTCCAAACTGTCAGTCAAGACGGTGCTGGACGGCGTAACTATGCAGCAATCTACCACGGACGACTTCATCTTTTCAGTCGCAGAGATTATAGCATATCTTTCCAAGGTATGCCGAATGTCCAGAAAGAGCTTTGAATTTTACTCTGACAAGAATGATAGGGGACGACGTTATCCAAGGCTACGATAATTTTGACGGGCACCCCAGCCGGCATTGGGCATGGCAGGAATCCGCCAATCTATCTGACTGACGAGTCAGCTTTGCGGATTTCGATCAGTCATGGACTTGGGACGTTGACGAATGCAGTGCGCTGGGAGAATTAAGATTGCGAAGCCGTGGTGACACATGCATACACCAGATGTGGCAGTCGCGCCTTCCTTGGATTATGTAGATTCTATCTCTCGCTCTCAAAAGGTTCAGACACTTTAGCAACTGCAAGAGCCTCGTACCTTTCCCTTCGACGACTGTTCCGGTCATCCTTCAACTGGCAATTTCACTTTCCATTCTTCCCATGATCTCCTCCCATGTCCCGCACTCGAGTAGACGCGATAACCCAGTCATATCCTCGAAGACCACGTCTGGCTCATGGCTGGTTCCCAGTGTCTCTGGCTCTGGTAGTGGCCTGGGTACAGATGGCCTTACATTGTCTACCACTGCTCCCTGGGTGTCTAGTACATGAGTTCCTCTATATCGACTCGAAGCCTTTATCCGCGAGACACAAAGCTCGACAACCTTCACTTCAGCAAGTTGGAACTCATTGACCCATCTATCGGCGTACTGCTTCTCACAATATGACTGAAGGTCGGTAACTATGGCCATGGTTCTCGGGAAGTGCGGATCCCGTACGGCCATGACGGCAAGAACCAAAGCGCTGTTCGAGAAGTGATGGGCGACGATATTGAACTTCAATCTTTCTGCCATTGTCATTGCGCGGAAAGACAGTTTCGAGGTGAGGTGCGCACAGGCGGATGCGAAACAGACATCTTGACTGTATTTGAACTGGCCGGTTATGGATGGGAGCAGGACATATGGTCGGTGGAGGGTGACCCTTGCAAAGTAATATGCCGAGTGCAGATACAGTCGATGCCACGGTAGGACGGGTAGCGAACTATCCATTGACCGGTCGGGGTCTTCGAGCTGGAAGTACGAGGGCAATGACTGTGCCCAGGCTAGAAGTTCCTGGTCAATGTCCAAGGCACGTTCATACGTGCTGTATGCCGTCGATCGTGGGGTCAGGGCAAAGCAATCGTCCAAGATGGACCCCAGGATTGAAGCCAGCTTCTGCTGGTACAAATGGTAGATGCTTGGGGTCGGATCACTCAGGGCCTTGGGCTCTGCGATAGCCGCATTGTCAGGGTCCAGATCATCAACCCAGGTATTGGTGATCTTCATGTGCTCGCAATGCTTGTCATTTACAGTGTAAGGACGCCCAACCGCGAGCGCAATGGTCCGATCGAGGTAATACAGCGTGCTCCAGAGACGGCGCCGAGTCTCGAGTACTTTACGTGGAAGTCCCCAGCGCTCGCCGTCGATATGCATCCCCTGGGCCTGAGCCATACGCACCGCGAAACTAACGGTCGTCCAACTTTCAGGGACCCGTCCCAGGTAGATGTTGTATCGAGTTATCAGGATCCCTGCTCGAACTAGGTCTGCACTTTCTCCGGAAAAGGTCGGCGAGATCACCACACATTTTCGTGCCGCCCAATAGAAGTGTAGGGAGGACTCTTCGCGATCCTGCTGCGTTTCGACGGAGCATGGCTGGGGACAGCCGAGGAGCTCACTGAAAGCGAGGATGATGAACAGCAGCGAGAGCCATCGCAGGTCGACGTTGGTCATGTCGTCCCATCCACGTCGTCGGTCCCAGAAGTTCTCATAGTGGGTTCGAAATGTTTCCGCGTGTACGCCATCAAAAACGCCATTCAATTCCATCAAGAACCGCTCCGTCAAACCGTCGACTACTGCTTTCTGGCGAGGCAGGTGCCCAATCATCTCCCAAACATGGGCATAAGGGCCGCGTTCGTTCCGGAATGATCGCGTGGCCCCAGTGCTTGGTATACGCCCCGGATTCAGCCCAACCGGTATATCGGGACTGGGTACCTGCATCATAGTTGCTGCGGCTTGGTGGCCGAAGTACGAATTGCCATGATAAGACGGAGCTCCGCGCGATGGCCACAAATTTCCAACCGAAGCATCAGCTGCTTGCGAGCGAGCATCCGATAATGACCCCGCACTCCGGACCTCAGACTCAGCTTCTGAAGTCTGTCGCACTGGGGAGATAGCGTCAATACGCCGTTCCCGTCGCTTTGCAGCTCTTGCAGCTGGGTTGCACAGATGGGGAATGTGGCGTCGTATGCAGTTGAGACATGGCTGCTGCCGATTACACTGTCCAAGTTCAGCCCAGCACTCAGCTTATCGGTAAACGTCGATGTGGCAAGGTCCAAACCTTCTGCTTCTGCTTCCGGCATTGACTGCATACCCTGCCAACCCTCGGCATGGGTTGTTCTGGCCCTGGCGAACCACCTGTCCCTACTGCAACCCAGCTATTGTCCGACATGGTACGACCAACGGTAGGAGCCCGTTTGATGCGATCGGCTTTGGCAGATCGTGGAAGAGGTAGGAGAGATAAGACGCCGCCGTGATCGGGCATTTGATCGGGGTTTCTTATCAGCCAAGACATACGTACTCCAACTACCATCCCGTTGATATGGTACCATCCATCATCCACCTCGCCAAGGCACAGCTGGAGGCTTTCAGGCACGCAATGAAATATAACGGTTAGTTAATTTAATACCCCTCGGATTATTGTGATACTCCTAGCTGCAAAGACTAGGGGTACTTATATAGTTGATTATACTGGTTTGAGCAAGCCCTTGCTGGGTAAACTTGGTGCTGTACCTCGAGGGATTCAGAGCAAGGAAAAGTTGTACCTACCTGGGAGGCTCAATTTGATGAGCACCCTTTTGATAGAGGGATCCATCAAAGCAGAAACGGGTTACCTACCTAATAGCCTACCTACTTACCACACAACCGACTCGGCGTCAGCCCCCAGTAATTCCTAGCCTCCCGCCAAACCTCTTCACCCCCGTCCATTTCTCGAAGGAGGTCGATCGTCTCCTGAGACATATTCAATGTCCCGGCAAGATAGTGGAGCGCCGTGTTGCCGTCAACATCCTGTGCCTTGACATCAAGATTGAATCCTGTGTCTGTTTGCGCTTGCGCCTGCGCCTGGATCAAAACCCGGATAGTAGCGAGCTGTGCTTGTTGCTGCGGCCACGTTAACGAGTCAGGACCTTGTGGAGCCGTTTGTAGCGCCCTCTTGGAGCGTAGAAAAGAGGGAACCGGCAACCTCGGATGCTTGTAGTAATAATCTAGCGTGCGTGCGCAATGGATTCTTACGGCCACCTTAGGGTTCTGCGCATCTATTTGAAAGGCGTGTATGGGGAGACAAGCAATGTGGAGGAGAGTGTGGCCTAAGGAGATCTTGCCAGCTGCAGCTAGACCACCGGGGATATACAGATCCCAAGGCCATTGAAATTATCCTCATAATCGCGTCCGCGCATAAACCGGACTGAATAGTCGGCGGTCTCCGAGCGCCCGATGCCATTAGGATTTGCGCCTGCGGCCAGAAGAAGACAGAGATTGTCGGCCGAGTTGATGCCGATGGCTGCTTTGATGGGGGACCAAAACTGGCGAAATATTGCTAGGAGAGCACCTGGATATCTCTCTCTGGTGGGATTTGGTCAGAGTTGGATCCTTGCTGCGAGAGTTGTAGTATGCCAGAAGAGCTGCGAGGACCTCAGGGTTGGGGTTTCCTGCTGCGCGAATCGCGGGATTGTCATCTTCCACTTCGTCATATAGATCCTCTGTAGTGAGCTGGTGCATTGTGTAGAAGCAGGGAGTAAGTAAACAGAGGGAAGAAAGGAAGAAGATATAAGTGGTTAGTTTACTGGATAAAGCTTGTTCTTCAATTGCGCCTCTCTCCAAATGCTTTCAACAAACATCCGCCTTATATGGATGTCCATGCTATAGAACAAGCTGTACTTGAACTGAAGCCAGAGTCCCGGTCACGACCTGTGTGCTAACCTCACACGGTATTTTTTCAATCAATGATTCACATCAGGGGGAGCAGAAGATAGAGGCAAAAACGCGGAATATGTAGTCTACAGTCTTTTCCAAGGTTGGGTCGGAGCAGCTTCCCTAATGTCATGCAGTAAGGCAGGGGAAGAAAATTCGCAGCACAAGGACGCCTCTAGCCTTCCAATATACACCAACAAGAACATCCACCCCTAGGTAAACGAAGATAACCCGGAATCACAAGCGAAAGCATCAGGCCCACCCCAGCGACCCAATTTCACGGCTGGTCCCGTTCCTCATCAGGACCCGAACTATGAGCGATTTTCGGCATCCCTTTTCTTTATCATCATTGCCTCAAAGTGAGTCATTTGCCAATTGCTCTCCTGGTGAGAGAATTGATAGCCCCTGACGATCGAAATAGCGCTTCTCCATGGGCTTCGTACTATGACTAGCGTGCGTCCTGTATAGCTCCTCATCTTGTTGGTGAGAGGCCCAGAAGTCCGAGAACCGGCATACCGACGCCAAGATGGTTGGATTCGGGACACAGGCCTTGTTCAGACTGCCAAGTCACACGGAATGATGTGTAGCAGGACCAAGCAAGGTGCGAGACGTCATCGACTGGCAATACGCCGGAGATTGTTCGGCGAGATAAGCTTCTGTGCGCATTACATCATCTTCTAGCCGTTATGCCGTGTTATCAGCCAATAACAGCTTCCCAAGCTTCTTGTGCAAGACTGCTGACTGATCCGTCTAAAAATAAAGCGCTCGTCAAATTTTCCCTCCGACAAAGTCCAGTCTTGGCCAGACGGCCTCGATCCTGAAAAGAGGAACTTAAGGCTGAACCAGGCGCCTGATAACAGATTTCTGCAGCGGCAGTGGATCCTCCGAAGAACGGTTCGCCCGTTGATATCGCCGATTTCATGACTCAATGCGGATCGGCGATATCGTGGACTTGTTTCGGCGAAAAAAAGCCGGGCGTCTGGCTGCAAATTTTGCAGAGGCTGGGTTATAAGTATGCGAGTGAACCGGGCTTGTAGCGTAGCTGGTTTTGATCGATCAGACCAAGTTTGACCTTCTCTACACTCGTTTATCTTATTCTTTATTGTTCATACTCTACGACTGGTAAGCTCCCCATATACCTGACACCGCCGATCTATATCCATCCATATCCATACTCCCTATCCACTCTATACTAACATCCACTAGCACACTAGCCCATACCTTAACTCTAAACCCCATCACCACACCACCATGTCTCAAAGCCAAAGCACAAGCGCAACCCCCAGCGCAACCTCCAGCGCCGCAACAAGCACAACCGTTAGCCGCGTGACCTCGCTCGACCAAAAGCACCCCTCCGACGCGGCCGCCAACCCCATGAGCAAGAAGTCGCACTTCGCCAAGCTGAAGAAGCGCCTTGCGGCTGTCAAGAAGGAATGGGGCCCTGGTCTTGCGGCCAAGGAGTCCTGGGACGACGAGTATAACTTCCCTGCTGGGCGCTGGGCTGGACAGGGGTTGGATCCTAGGTACGTTTCTTCGGTGTATGGTTTGGATTGGGGTTCTGACGGTTTATAGCTGGTGGCGCACTGCGCCGGGGTCTGCTTAGAAAGCTTGATCCATGAACATGCTGATGGAGCAGCCCATTGGCAATGGCAATGGCACCGCGGCAGCGAAAGCGAACGCACGCGACGTCTACGATAACATGATATACGCGTGGGATAGCCATGACTAGGCGCACGGACTAATTCGGTTTACGGTACGGAGGGGTAATGGAATGGAATGGACGGGAGGAAAAGACTCTTCACTCATTGAGATATAAAAAGCATATAGACTTGGCGTTTGGCTGGTCATCAAGACCGCCGTGTATGATACCCCGGAGGACGGAACGGAGTAATTAATTGATTTCCATTACAAAATGATTTTCTTATTTCCTTAGAGGTGCGGCTAAATTTCCCGGTGTCTGTTTGGATGGTGCTTGTGAGGCAGTCCGTCATGGAAAACGAGTGAGCGTACCAGGTTCCCCTGCATGTGCAATGTGACAGCTTATGTATTGTTCAGCATCATCACAAGGGTGTCGTCTTACTCTGTGGGCATGATAATAGCTAGGCAAAAACGTGATTCGAGCGGACTTCGGTCAAAGTCCTTCCGCCAAGATATGTATTTCTTTTCCCGCTGCAGTCTTCCAGGGCAGAAGTGCATAGATCATCCAGATGCCGTCATGTATAAGAGTATTCATTAGTCACAGATGTGATCCCAAGACCTCTCTCGCATACTCTTAGTCAAGGCATTGCAATACCAAGAGGGATGAAGCCGAGGACTACGTCAATGATAGATAGCGGGATGGTTATAAGCGGACTAAGTGCGTGATTCTTGTGTTGATAGATCATTCACTCTTTACAGAACTAGGCAGCAAGCACAATGCCGTTCTGTGCTAGCTCGAATCCGCGCGGGCTATGCTCGTCCAGCTCGGTGCCTTTGACTCTGGATGTCAATATAGGGCTTGTGGTTGACGATGTCTTGGACCCGGCTGTTCTGCTGGAAAAGTGGACCCAGTTGATCCGCAGCTCCCCAGTCATGGGTGGCCTTTTGGAAAGTAAGGTATGAAATATTCTATAAGCCTTATAGAGGGCCGTGACACTGACTAGTTAGACGGAAACACGGAGGCTCATTCGCGGGTCTCTTGTCGATTTCGACAGTCGGATTCTGAACGACACTCTCAACTCGATCCTTCCTTTCTCATGGCATGGGCAATCTCGGCCATCGACTCTCCACGAGAACGTCTCCGATATCGACGACAAGTTCTTGTTCAATCCAACTTACAATCCTAAGCCCGTCTGCTTGCTCCGAGCAACGATCCTGAACGATGCCACGATCCTCTGCTTCAGTTTCGTCCACAGCCTGTTCGACGGACAGAGCTGTTTCGATATCATCCATTTCTTCTGTGATTTGCTGTCGGATAAACCAATTCCTAAGCTCGCGCTTTCACCGGATATGACAGGCATTCGAATGTCAGAGCTCATCCGGGAGACGACCATCAGCGATGAGGAACCTCGCATGCCTCGAGAGGATGTCTTCATCACCAGCCGACTGGGTCAGTTGAAGCTTTACGCAAAAGCCCTGGTCGAAACAACGGTTGAGCTTTTTACGCGCTCCGAAAAGCTGACGCAGAGGCTTATCCACCTCCCCGGGGCATGGGTCGACGAGGTCCGAGCAAGCGCGCAGAAGGAGCTGGACATGGACGATGAATACCCAGGCGTACGACTCACGCGCAACGACATCATTGCGGCCCTGTATTTGAAGATGGTGTACTCCTCAACGAAGCCAAGTAACAACCCTGTGGACTTTTACGGCCCTCTCAATTACCGATCGCTGCTTGGATTGTCGGATGAGACACATTATACGCATAACAGCATCATCACCCTTCGATGCCCTTTTTCCGAGCGCGAGATCCAGGATGCCTCGATCGCCCAGATTGCCGAGAAGATCCGCCTTGCGACGATGCAGTACAAGCATCCGGCCGTCGTCAAGAATGAACTGCGAGCAAATGAAGACAGGGTGCTTGCACCGGCAATTGTGAAAGTCCGGGGCAGCATACAACGGAGTGTTCCATATATCACACCGTGGACCACGTTCCAGTATGCAGATCTCGACTTCTCCGGTGCGAGTGCCAGGAAAACAGGGCGTAACGCCTCAGTCGTCTTTGTGAACCCGCAATTCCGCCTCTTGAACGGCCAAGAGCAGCCTACGCTGTTCTTGACGACATTGAAGGATTGTTCGGGGGGATACTGGCTTCGGGGATCGAACACTGCGAGTGGATGGGAGGCGTTTGAGACACTGTTTTAGTGATGCATGACTGATGAGATAGAGACAATGCCTAGAAATAAGAGCTTCTTGGCTGTACGTCTTCATTTGTATATAGTGGCGAGGGATCCTGCGATAAGAGGCGGGATGGCATGACCAAGCAGGGAGCAAGAGGCCATGCAGTCAGAGAAAGCGATAGGATGACGGAAAGCAATGATAGCAGACGTTACATCAATCTATTGCGGGGCTTGGCATTGCAACCTGGCTGCCGGGGAAGAGACAAGATTCGCCAGGAAGGCTTGCCCCGGCCCCACCGTGCTTGGCATGCCGATCTTGCCCTGATTGAGCCCGCCCTAAGCCCAGTTTGGAAGGTCATAACAAAGTGCGGAGGTGCCTGGCCTGGAGCTGGCAATTGCACCATCTGCTCCTTATAAATGCGCCTTCCCTGCTTCTTTGCCATTCCAGCTTCAACCATCCGTCCTTCATCATGGGTGCCTTCCGCTGGCTCTCGCTCGCTGCGGCCGCGTCCTCTGCGCTGGCATTGACCCCCGAGTAAGCCTGTGCGACCTCCAAATGCATCTGACGTGACTGACGCCGCACAGGCAGTTGATCAGTGCTCCCCGCAGATCAGAGGCCATCCCCAACCCCTCTGGCGTGAGTCTTAGTCCTGAATTGGAGACACAGTCTAACAGCAGCAGAGCGTCGCCGTCTTTTCCAGCTCCCAGTACTCCTTTGACACCCACGAGTCCAGCTCCTGGTGGAGTCTGCTTGACCTTCGCTCGGGGAACATCACTGTCCTCACCGACGACAGCAATGTCTCTGAGATTGTCTGGCTGAGCGACTCGACGCTGCTGTACATCAATGGCACCAACGCCCAGATCCCTGGCGGTTCCGAGCTCTGGGTTTCCGGTCTCTCCGGCTTTCCTTCGGGGTAAGTATACTTCCAAATCACAGTAAGAGTTTAGAGCTGACCCCTATAGTTACAAGGCCGCCTCCCTCCCTGCCTCCTTCTCTGGTCTCAAGGCTGTGACCACCGAATCCGGCGACATCAACTTCGTCGCCTACGCCCAGTCTTACCGCAACGGCACCGCATACAACGCCGAACTCGCCGCCACCTACCTCAGCAGTGCCCGCATCTACGACAGCATCTACGTCCGTCACTGGGACACCTATCTCACCACCACCTTCAACGCCGTGTTCTCCGGTACCCTCAAGAAGACCCAGCACTCGCGATACCTGGCCGCCGGCGGCCTGAAGAACCTCGTCGCCCCCGTCCCCAACGCCGAGTCCCCCTACCCTCCCTTCGGCGGCTCGTCTGACTATGACATCTCCGCCGATGGCAAGTGGGTTGCGTACAAGAGCAAGGCTCCCGATGTTCCCCAGGCCAACCACACCACCGCCTACATCTATCTTGTCCCCCATAATGGCTCCGAGACCGCTGTCCCTATCAACGGCCCTGGCTCCGCACCCGAGGGCATCGAGGGTGACTCGAACAGCCCTGTCTTCTCCCCCAACAGCAAGATCCTTGCTTACTTCCAGATGGAGGAAAAGACCTACGAGTCCGACCGCCGCGTCCTCTACATCTACGACCTCGAGTCGCAAGAGATCGGCGCCCTCGCGACCGAGTGGGACCGCTCGCCTGACTCCCTCAAGTGGATCGATGACAAGACCATCATCGTTGGCTCCGAGGACGAAGGCAGCGGTAACCTGTTCCTGATCCCCGTCCAAGAAGCGACGGGCGACTTCACCCCCTCCAAGCTCACCGACGGCAAGTACGCCTCGGCCTTCTACCAGGTCTCCAACAACACCCTCCTCGTTACCGGCTCGACCCTCTACTCCAGCTGGTACGTCGACCTCGTCAGCCTGAACCCCGAGCGCGGCACCCTCAAGACCCTCGTCTCCGCCCACGAAATCGACCCCGAGCTCAGCGGAAACGGTCCGGAGGACATTGGCGAGATCTGGTTCGAGGGCAACTGGACTGATGTTTGCAGCCCTACTCCATACACTGCTCTTCGCTAACAGTCGCAGATCCACGCCTGGGTCATCTACCCCGAAGGCTTCGACGAGAACAAGACCTACCCCCTGGCCTACCTCATCCACGGCGGTCCCCAGGGCGCCTGGTACAACTCCTGGAGCTCCCGCTGGAACCCCAAGGTCTTCGCTGACCAAGGCTACGTCGTCGTCGCCCCCAACCCTACCGGAAGCACCGGCTACGGCGACGAGCTGACCGACGCCATCCAGAACAACTGGGGTACGCGATCCATCCCTTCCACTTTCAATAGCCCAAACTAACAATGCACAGGCAGCTACCCCTACGAAGACCTAGTCAAAGGCTGGCAATACATCCGCGACAACCTGCCCTACGTCGACACAGCCAACGGCGTCGCCGCAGGCGCCAGCTACGGCGGGTTCATGGTAAACTGGATCCAAGGCAGCGACTTGGGCCGCGAATTCAAAGCGCTCGTCACACACGACGGCACCTTCGTCGCCGACGCCAAGATCTCAACGGAAGAGCTCTGGTTCATGGAGCGCGAGTTCAACGGGACATTCTGGGAAGCGCGCGAAAACTACCGCCGCTGGGACCCCAGCGCGCCCGAGCGCATCCTGCGCTTCGACACGCCGCACCTCGTCATCCACAACGACCTCGACTATCGTCTTCCTGTCGCCGAGGGTCTGAGTCTGTTCAATGTGCTCCAGGAGCGCGGGGTGCCGAGCCGCTTCCTTAACTTCCCCGATGAGAACCATTGGGTGACGAACCATGAGAACAGCCTTGTTTGGCATCAGCAGGTGCTGGGGTGGTTGAATAAGTACTCGGGTGTTGCGGAGAATGAGGGTGCGATTACGCTGGAGGATACGGTTGTTCCGGTTGTTGATATTAACCCCCCTGCTTAGGCAGTGTATATTACTAAAAGGAATAAATAGTTACTGTATGTAGAAGTCTCTTGTATTGCTTAATATCTTAAGCTAAATATTTTAAAAATAAATAAAAAGTTTTATAGGTAGTTATTTAAGCTAAAATAATTTTTTTTTATTAAAGCCCTAAGGCTGCCAGTGGCCTTAAGTACTTACTTTTAGTACTTTTTTTTATTTATATTAAAAACTTTCTTAAGTTAATAAGCTATAAGCTACTAGTATAAAAAAAGTTTTTTTTAAATTAATAAGCTATAGGTTATTAGTCCCGGAAAAAGGCTTTTTTAAAAATATAATTTATAAATAAGTATTAAAAAGCTAGTAATTAAAATAATAAAAATAATAAATATTAATAAAAACTTTAGGTATTAATAAGCCAAAGCAATTCTTAAAAATATAAGTAAATAATAATAAAATATATAAAATAATAAATTTTTAATAAAAGCTTTAGGCACCGGGTGGCCTAAAATAAATTAAATAATAAATAATAAGTTAAATAATTTATAAATTTAAGGGCTAGCTAATATATTTACTAGCTTTTTTATAAATTATATAACCTTTTTATAGCTAAAAAAGTAATAATAAATATTAAAGCATGTAAAAATTATTCTAGGGGTAAGAATAAGGCCTAGTTTATATAAAAAATATTATTAACTAGTAATAATAAATTAGTATATAGTAATTTATTTAAAAATTTTAATTTTTAGTATAAGGTAAATTACCTAGTATAATAATATATTAAATTTATTAAAATATATATTTTAAATATTAATTTTTTTTAAAAAATTTAGTGCTAGTATAATACTATATATTTTAAATAGTATAGTATTAGCCTAATAGCTATAGTAAGTGTAATTAAGCCCTAAATATAAAGTTTTTAGGGTGTAGGCTAGCAGGATTATAATAGGGATTATAGTTTTAAATAATAATATTTTTTTTTTATTAAAAAATAAAATTATTATAATAACCTATATATATTAAAAGCTAATAGCACTATCTAGCTACTTAATTTAAAAAAGTTTTAGGGTTTTAAAAATTACTAGCTATATGGTGCAGCCGCGCTTTAAAGCCTAAAAAAATATTAAATAAAAATTTTAATTAAGGTAGTTAATAAGCTGGTCACGCTAGTAAGCCTATATTTTAATATTTAAAAATAAAATCTTTTATAAGTAAATATAAGAAGCGCTAGGGATTTTATTAAATTAAGCTAAAAATATATTAACTTTTAATATTATAGTTAGGGTATTATATAAAACTAAAATAAGGTTTTAAAATAAGGTAATATTATACTATCTTTACCACAGGGTTAATCCCTAAAGATAAAAATAAAGTAATAATAGGCTAAAAATAAAGGTAATTAAATATAGTTTTATAATACATAAGTTATTACAGGTCTAGTATAAAAAAGGCTAATTCTAGTATAAAAATTATTAAAAAACTTATTTATATAAGCTTAGAAAGAATTTTTAGTAAGGCTTTAAAGTATTTAAATGCCTTAGGCCTGTTATCACCACTATGGTGTTGCAACTGCGCAGTATTGCAATAACGTAATCCAGCAGCCTAAGGCCGCCTGATAAAGGAACTTTAATACTAATTTAACCACGCGCCAAGGCGGCGGTTAATTATGTAATATATAAAATATTAAGTTTAACTTAAAACTTTAACTTAAAAAATTAGTAATTAGTTCTTATTATAAATATATAATACTTTTTTATTATAATAATTTATATTTTTTTAAGCTTAGTATAGTATATAAAAGCGCCTTATAGTTTTAATTACTTTTTTTTTTAAAAAAAACTTATTTTATATAATAGCTAAGTAGTAAACTTAATCCTAGGGGCTAGTAAATAATATTTAAAAAAAATAATTATAAACCCTAACTTAATAACTAACTAACATACTTAAAAAAAAATTTATAAATTTTTAACTAAAAAAACCTAAGGGTATTACTACTAATAAAAACTAAATTATATAAAAAATATTAAAACATAAAGTACCTACTTAGGGGCATAAAAATAAAAATAATAAAAAAACTACTAAGAAACTATAGGTAATATTAAATATAATTTTAATAAAAAAAAAATTACAGGAATAAGAATATTANAAAAAAAATTAATAAATTTATGCTTAAATTAAAAAGGCACGCTAGTAAATTATAATAGCTAAAGCTAATTAATAAATATATAATACCCTTATTTAATTTATTAAGTAATTAATAATTTTTTATTAAATAAACTTTAACACCCTTGCAAACCCTAAAAAAATTATTATAAAATTAATTATAATAGTAACTACGCGCCCTAAAAAGGATTTTTTAAAAAAGTTATTATTTATAAAACTATACTAAGTAAATAATATTAAAAAATTTAATAATTAGAAATTAAATATAAAAACACATTTTAAAACCTTTTTAACCTACTATTTTAATAATAGTTATAAAATATCTTAGTTTATTAAATTTTTAGTAAAAGATTATTAACGTGAATAGTTTAATATTTGCAAGGTAAAACCTATATTTATTTAAAAGGAATTTTTTAATACCCTAGTTAAAATAATTAATAATAAAATAGTGCTTGTTAATAATTTATTTATTAAATAAGGTAATATAAAATAATAATTATAATAAATTATTAGGTAATTTGCGCAATTGCTAGATTAAATTAAAAAATACTTACTTTATAAATATAAAAATAACCAGCGCAAAAAGCACCTATATTAAAAAATCCTAAAAAATATATAAAAAAAATTTCTTATTTATAAATATTAAGAACTAAAACGCTATAAAAACTACATATTATATTTAATTAATATTAAAAATAACATACCTAGATAAAAAAAAACTATTATAAAAAAAAAAAACAGGAATTCCTAAATTAAACATATACTAGGCTATTAGTAATAAAAGTTAAAGTGCTATTTACCTTTAAAAAAGGTGTAAAAATAAATATTAGTATAAAATAACCTAGTGATTTAAGTAATAACTTATTTATAAAAAAGCTATACCTAGGTAAATACCTAAATTATAACTATACTAAATACTTTAAATAATATTACTAGTTACCGGGCGGGGATTAAAAAAAAAAAGTGCCTTTATAATAGTAACCCCTAAGTAAATTTAGTAATATAAAAAATATAAAACCTTAAAACTTTACGCGGTATAAGTTTTAAAAATTTATATAAAATAAAAAAGTGCGCCGCGGGCCTAAGTAATCTAGGTAAAAATAAAAAAAAAAAATAAAAAATAATAATATATAAGAGTTTTTATTAACTTTAAAATAAAAGTAAATTTTATAAACTAGCGCTGGGCAAAGTTTTATTTTATATAAAATAAAAAATTAGCCTATAAAATATATATAATTAATAGTTATATAGTAATATTTTATAAAAAGTATATACTTATAGTTTATGCTAGAGATTCTACGCGTAATATATAATATTATTAGTAAAATTTTAAAGCTATTAATATTAATAGTTATAACATAATTTTAGGGTTCCCGTGGCTTTTAGCTATAATACTTATTTTAAATTAATATATTAGTAATTAAATATATAGTTAAGAAGTAAAGTATAATTTTAAATATTTATAATATATAATAATAATATAAAAATGCACCATAAAAATTACTATAAAAATTAAAGTACTTTTAATATAAATTTTTAAATAAAAAAACCATATTATAATACACCTTAATAAGGTAAAAATTAAAAAAATCTTGCTACTTAAATAATACTGTAAATATATAAATATATTTTTTAAAGTAAAGGTAAATATTCTTGTGTTTTATTACTTATATAATTATATAATTAAATTATAACCTAGTGCTAAGCCTTTAARTAAGTATATTTATTTATTATTTTTAAAAAAGCTTAAGGTCCTACGCGAATATATTAAAAAGCCTTAAAAAAAAATTAAATATATTTATTAAAAAGCCCTGCGGGAGCTCTAGTATTATTTATACTAAAAAAAATAATAGCTTATATTTTTATATTAACTACTAAGGCCTAAATACTATTATAATTAAAAATACGTACCTTTTATTATTACTTAACATAATTTTTAACTATTTAAAAATAAAAAAGATTTTTATATAACTTAATTTACATGATATGTATTATAGGCTTTAAATTTATAAAAAAAATAAGTAAAAAATAGTATTTAAAACACGCTTTAGTTTTTATAAATATTAAGTTATACCTTTTAAACTAGTAAATATACTAGTAATATTTTAATCTTATATAAACCATGCCCTAGCTAGGCTAATTAATATAATTTATATTACTTACTTAAATAATATTATTATCTTTTTAAAAAATAAAAAAAAATATAAATAATATATATAAATAGTTCTTAAAAAACTGCGCAATTTTAAGCTATATATAAAAGTTAGTAAATACTTATTTTATATTAAAAAGATTAACTTCTTGGGCTTTATTATAACTATTAATAAAATTAAAATAAAATTAAAAAGGGTTTAAACTATTATAAAGTAGCTAATACTAAAAAATATAAAAAAAATAGTATTTTTCTTAAGATTTTGCGGCTTTTATTAAAAATTTATTAAAAATTATAGCTAAGTTGCGGCAGCGCTGTTTAACCTTATAAAAATTAATATAGTTATAAAATGCTTATTAAAAAAAAATATTAAAAGTATTTAATATACTATACCTAAGGTTTACTAAGTGGCCTTTATTAAAATATTTTAACTTAAAATTACGCATGTAGTTATAAACTAATGCCTTGGGGTATATTATTATTAAAGTATTATTTTAACTAGTAAAAAATATATAATAATATTTTATTACTTTTTAGTTTTATAAGTTAAAAAATATAAAAACTTATTATAAAACTTATAACTTTAAAATGCTTGTAATTATAAAATACTTTTAAGTTTAAAAATACTACCTTAAAAAAAATAAGTTCCCTATTAAAGTGCTTATAAATTATAATAATTTATAATAATTTATAATAATTAAGGACTTAA